AGAAATTTTAAATACATGAAGAGTTTTATTAGTGAAAAGCTGCTGAGTGCAATAAAATATAGGCTATATTTTATTACTTGCTCTTATGTGCTGAAATACTTATCACTTTCCTTAAGATCACAGAATAATATGCAACATCTTTAAATAAAGGGGAATTTCCAATTAAGTGTCATATAGTCATAAGGAAAAATGTATATGTTCCAGGGCTCTCCAGAGCATTTGGGCTGAATGTTTGACATGCAGAGTCTAAATGAGGATGTTATAAAAATACATTTTCTACCGATGTGTTAACGGAGAATTTCTGTGGTGTTATATTATGGATGGTGCGCTTCCTGTGCTGGGGAGACAATGCTAATTGTGACAATGACACTCAATGTTCAATGCCAATAGTAGGTCGGCGAGTAAATGAATATAATGAATGAGAACACACAGGCATGTGCGTATAGACATATAATGTTCTGCTGTACAGTAACGTGTTATTTGTTTGTTTCGGTTGTTTTCATTTTAATAGTTCGTGATGATGTGTGATGGTGTGCTTTATCTGCCTTATTCCCGCTGAAATGGGCAGGTTGTGTGACGTTTGATTCAGGGGACGTTCTGGGGGCGGCGGTTACATGACGCGCTGCGAGCTTCTAGCCTGACAGTGGAAACGCGACATGATTTCGGCCTCACTGCTCAACCTCCCGGATGATAGGCCGGCTCGATAAAAGCCTTGGGTCGCACTGGCCCGACAGTGGAAATGTGGCTATTGCAATATCAATGTTATGTAAAAAAAAAATGACCTATTTGACAGTGTTTTTTTACTGAACATATATACCAAAAACTGAAAGCCAAACCAAAATCTGAATTGTTGCACCTCTAGTCTTTACACTGAATTCCGAACAGACCCAGACCTGCTTTAGTGCCACCTTAAATCTCTGTGTAAAGATGACTCAAGATCTTTTTTTTTTAAATTTTGTTTCCACTTTTCCGAATTTTCCTAATGGGTATTAGACATTGCTACTGTTTTCAGTGGCACTCACCTTTCAGTTTCAACCCCAGGAGCTTTTGTCTTTCTGGCAGGACTCCTGTGAGCGATTTAATGGACTGTTTCAGATCCAGCACAGTGTCTTCCTCGGACAGCGTATTAATGGAGTACTCCTGCCCTCCCCACTTGATAATAACCGAAACTGACATGCTGGTGGACGAGCTGTGAAGGACAGTTTTCTGTTATTTGCACGTCAGCATGTCATAAACCACAAACCACCCTTGTGCACAATACATGCATCGATATTTACAGTTGAAGTCAGAATTATTTATATTGCAATGTATGATAATTTTGCAAATATTTGATTCAAATGATCTCATTTAACAGATTTTCCTTACATGCTTATTGTGATTTGCACACAAACTATGTACATTATTAAAATTTTACCCCCCCTCTCTCTGTTGTAGTTTTACAAAAGAAAAAGTTATTGAAAAGAACAATTGCCAGTAAAGTCACTTAAGTTACCCAACCTATTTTCTGCTGTTCTTACGCTATTGTACAATACAATTGGTTGAGACAGAATAATAATTATTATGTCTGTTATTTGCAGTATTTTCGTAGCAATTTAAACTCCCCCTTCAATACACAACAAGAAACAAAAAGCTTTAGCTGCATATACTCTGTGTAAGAATGACTGGGTGTGTTTCTAATCCTCGGCCATACACACAACAACCACAGATTTATTTCAACAGCTGATGTGTGACAAGATAAACGTGCTGATTTGCATTATCACTAGTATGCTTGAAATATAAACATCATGTCTGTTGTCCTAAGATCAATTATGTCAGGTTTCTACTTTTATTATTCTTATACTTGAATGTTAAAACGGCCCTCCTATGAATTGTCAGTCACTGAAATAGCCCCCCACCAATTTGAGTTTGAGACCCCTGCTCTAGGGACATCAGAGACTTATTTTAAATCTTGTAAAAAGTGGCATAACAGAAATTCAATAATCAAATAAAATGGCATAAACTTTATTGTATAAATAAGTAAACAATTAATCCTTGTTAACGTTGCAAACTTTATCATTTTTGCGTCTAAATGGTTTAAATACACTTGAAATAGCTCGGGATCCTTGGATGTGGACTATTTTAGTTTTGCACATTGAGATATCGATGAATGAATCAATATATTGTGCAGCCCTAATAATAAATGCTGCTGATATGGTATTAAAACATAATAAATACACACACACACACACACACACACACACACACACACACACAGAGAGATATATATATATATATATATATATATATATATATATATATATATATATATATATATATATAAATGTATAGACTACCTTGGCAACACTACACCAACATAAGCAACAGTAGAGGTCCACTGGTGGTCAATACACAAGACAAATGGGTCAGGTGCTACATATCTATACAAAAAAATAAAGCAAAAAAAACAACCTCATTTAAAAGCCTTTCATAAACAACTGTGTAGACTGTATAATATTACATTTGCAAATCTTTTTTGTCTACAAGTGTAAATAAAATAATTTATTTGTTTTTACCGAACATATTTTGTTAAAGATCTTGATGGATGGATGTGGAATGTTGATGCTTGAACAAGCATGTATGTATTAGCTACTTAGCTTTTTGAACTCATTAAGTTATTTTGCATGCTTAATGCATTAATTGGGTGTGATCTAGCTGTCGTAACGACGCTGTTAATTTCTCTAATCATTTCATCCTGAAACAATCTAAACCACGCTGAGAAGAAGAATAGGGTAAGGTTTGTCACTTACATAATAGGCAGTTCATTCAAGCTCAGGCTGACTGCTTTGGGTACCACAAGATTTGCTTTGTTCTTCTTCTCTCTGCTTATGACGGCCTGTTTACTGTGCTTACTGCCACCTCCCGGTTAAGAGTTTGTCGTGTAGTACTTTTTTATTTCTCCTTCAATGCAGTTGTTTTGTTTTCCTAAGTACTTATCATTGACAGGGTGCGGTTTTGTTTTTGTCGTGTTTTGAACTGAATTTACAATTTGTGCAACTTAATAAATCGATTTTATTAGTTTCATTGTAAGCGGCGTCACCGAGTTCCTCCTCCGACTCTGTGAATCGGTTCATTCAAACTGTTGATTCAAAGGAGCCAATTTTAAAATGACTCTGTTTAGTTTGTGTGCAACAGAATAGTGCTCGGCTTTGGGTTCATGAGTTTTTTTATTTCTTAAGTTGCACAGATGTATTTCTAGGAATAGCCAACAATACATTTGAGTCAAAATTATAGATATTTTTTATTGTCAAAAATCAATAGATATTAAGATTGTAAGTTACAAAAAAGTTTTGTAGTCCTGTAGGCTCACATGAAAAGAACTTACAATGATGTAATGTTACAGCAGTGACAAGATAGTATTAATAATGTACATAAAAAAACAACAATACTAACACAACAACAAGTATCTAAAATGTTTTCAATTCTGCATATCTTGTTTTCATGAAAACAGATGCAAGACTAATAGACAGTGAAATCAAATAATAATAATCACCCCCCCCCCCACACACACACCACCCCTTATACATATAATATACTATATACTAATAACTCGCTTTAAATATACAAAAATAAGAATAATTCATTATTTACATTAATTGTCAATATAACCTTGTAATTATCAATTGTTATTTTATACCAGTGAATCAAATTTAAAATTACAAAAGAGCATTGTGGTGAGTCATCTTTAAAATTATTATTATTATTATTTATCTTTTTGGAGAGAGAAAGAAAAAAAATTGTTTGTTGACTATATTTTATCAGTAGAAAAATATGCCAATGTCTCTATTACACAACCGGTGAATCACATACAACTGTAAGCTGTTATATTAACCCACAAAAAAAACTAAGATAAACGTACAAAAAAAACAAAGGCACAAAACAGCAGTGGTGGAAAGAGTACTGTAAAATCATACTCAGGTAAAAGTTTCTCAGGTACCATTTCTTGCCCCAAAATATAGTGCAAATACAGTAAAAAGTATCTGTTGTAAATATTACTCAAAAAAAAAAAAAAAAAAAAAAAAGAAATTGTGAAAAGTAGCCCTTTAAAAACTACTTAAGAGTGGTGAGTTGTGAGTATGTTGTAAAAAGCGATGTACTTACATGTAATTTCTCTCTCTCTCTCTCTCTCTCTCTGTGTGTGTGTGTGTGTGTGTGTGTAAACGTAACATTCTGTAGTGCATTTATTTATAGTTAAGGCCATTTCGGTCATCATACAGTAAACATCCGTCATCTTTTCTTCATAACATACTGTCAAAACAGTCTCTCGATCATTGTGTGTAAAGATTTTAGACATTTTCTTGGACACTTTTAATGCTTCCAAACAGTTTGTTGCATTCATAAAGAGCTCATGTCTTGAGGTAGTTCATTATGATGCGATTTACTTTCTATGTGTGATCTGATTAGACAAGAATAACAGGACTGATTTTTCTAATTCCCCTAGACAGGAAATACAATAAAGTAGTGACTGCATTCAACAACAGCAGTAAGATATCAATAAAATTCCCCACACAACAGGAGTTTTACTTCCGGAACAGGACCATTGAACCGTGAATCGTTCAGACCAGTTTTGTGAATCGCTGCAACTGATTCTTTCGGAAGATTTTGTTCACTCGCTTGAAAGCGGAAGTGACGCAGTGAAGCCGGCCAAAGCAGTTCTTCACGTTTTGGAGAAGTATTCCGTCTAATTGTATCATTTGTGGCTGTTCAACACATTTTCCGAAAAGATGGGGGACCCCGTTACCGAATACGCGTCACGACTTCAGCGTCAGGTCAGCTTTTTTCTTCATTAACATGTTTAAACAATAGTTCAAGTTTAAAAGTTGTGTTCCTTTATCCATGTGTTTCTCGTGCTCTGACGTAATAGACTGAAACGCTCATCCAGGTCTGACAGTCGTCATCTCATGCATCTCCATGCTACATTTTGCACATTCAGCTCTGTAACGTTATGTTTGAGTTTAACGTTAGTTGTTTCTTTTAATAGTCAATACTATATTATTAGAGTGCTTTACAAATATATAAAGCATCATAATGTAGAGAGCTATAGTTAAAATACTGTACAATAATGCATAATGAAAATGATGATGCCTACAGCTGATGCCTAAAAGGTAATTACTCAAACCATTCACCTTTATAGGAAGATAATGAAGTATTACATTTTTAGTTAAAGTGAAAGTAAAACAGAAGTGTGCAGGTTAATAAACAATATGGTTGTGATTAGTTGATACCATAAATAGGTTGGACTTTGAAGCGTTTTTATAACTGAGCTGTGTTTGGTCTTTGTTCTTAAGCTGTTTGAGATTTTCTGCCTTCCAAACCACCCATACAGGAAAGAGAAATCAAGTTGCTCCAAGATGAAATCGAGAGATTGAGAGATCCACATGATTTAAACTTGACATCTTCACAACTGGATGAGCTGCGGGAGGAGAATTCCCGTCTGAAATACCGCCTCAATATTCTTAAAAGAGTGAGTGTGATGTGATTTTTATTGTTATATGCCCACTGGTCTAGGTGTTTGTTTTTATGTGTGCGTTTTTACTGCTTTGTGTGTGTGTGCGCATTTGGATAGGCTAAATAAACAACACAAATCCAAGTATGGGTCCCACCACACTTGGCCACATATCACAACTTTACCCTTCCGATCCTTCTCTTTTTCCCTTTTCCTAAACGCTCCTAGATTGCAGAACTTGACCTTTAATGCCTAGACTAATAATATGTAGGGCTAATATCTAAAAAAAAAAAAAAATCAAGATACATACTAGACGCATGAAATAGCATAAGAAATTATGTCTTGTTTTCTGAAAAAAATTAAGTGATTGTTTTTTTTAAAGCAAGAAAAAAATCTTAATGAGATATAATCTCAAACAGAAGTTTTAAACATCACATCATTTTCTTATGCCATTTTCTTGTCTAGTAATCTTGATTTATGAGTTTTTAGATATTTCGTCAGCTTAAAATGATACGGTTCTATTTGACATTTTTTGTCAAAATTGAGTTGCTCACATATTCTTATTAAATGACTACTTATTTACATTATGTGATGTTTTTTTGTGTAAGTTGTTTACATTTTAAGACTTTTTATTTAAAAAACTAAAACGGTTTATTTGCGAAGTTGAACTGTAGCTTGGCTCTATAAGGTTCTTTCAGCGAGCCAATCAGCATTTTTTTAATGCACACACGAGGACCAACCAGGATCAGCTTTCTTTGTCATTTCGCCGGACTGCTCCATTGACAGCGGGAAAGACCAGAAAGACAAAATCACACAAAATCAGAGTCGACTAAATCATTCCGCACCACACAAAACTGAGAAGAAACCATGAAACTGAAAAGATGTGTGTAAAAGTGATGATTTAGCAACATTTTTGGACATTAAGATGAAATGTTAAATTTAACATTGTTGAAAAAAGAAACGGTAATTAAAAAAGTCATATATTAAATATCAAATATTTTTATTTGTGTGTATATATAGTCAGTGAAACATTTTTCAGTGTTTATTAAACTCATTTGCACATTTTCTGTTTTCTTTTAAAGTCTTTAAATTTGATAGTAATCCTTGAAGGGCAAGTACTTAATTTAATTCATGGGGCAAATAATCCAATAAATATAATTTAATCATTCATATAAAGCATAACATTTAATTAATATTACCATATTAATTGGATAAAATTAACGTCTGCGCTGGACAAAATACTTAGCCCAGCCATGTATGATTAATTTAACCAAAGAAAAAATATTCATCTTAAAACATGAAATAAATGTTATAGAAAGCAAAAATTTAACTTTCTCAAACATCAACATATTGTTACAATATCAATATATATATATATATATATATATATATATATATATAAATATAAATATATATATATATATATATATATATATATATATATTTTTTTTTTTTTTTTGATTGTATTTCTTGAAAATGAATGATGAATGATCTGCCAGATAGAACCTTATAAAAAAAAAGCGGAAAAAATTACTTTTCTGAATTAGAAGGTTCTAATTGCATTTACCATGTTTTTTCACTCGAATTTGCAAATGTAAGAGAACTTTGATAATTTACATTCATGCATACATACATGGAATGCAAAAAACTTTGAAGCTCAATATCTCAAAATTATTCAGAAAACAGATAGAATAGACAGATAAACAACTTGGACTGGAAACGAGATGAAATTACTAAGAAATAAAAGCTTTTTTTGTAGTGTAGCTATACATGACAACAGATGGAAAAATAAATGATAAAAAAAAAGCAAATGAATAAAAAAATGTGTCTTTAGAAGTAACTATACCACCGCTACTTTACTTCTGTCATTAACCCTTTCACTGGTGAGTTTTAAAAAAATGTGGCACAGTGGGTAGCACGTTCGCAGGTTCGAACCTCGGCTCAGTTGGCGTTTCTGTGTGGAGTTTGCATGTTCTCCATGCCTTCGCGTGGGTTTCCTCCGGGTGCTCCGGTTTCCCCCCACAGTCCAAAGACATGCGGTACAGGTGAATTGGGTAGGCTAAATTGTCCGTAGTGTATGAGTGTGTGTGTGAATGTGTCTGTGGATGTTTCCCAGAGATGGGTTGTGGCTGGAAGGGCATCTGCTGTGTAAAAACTTGCTGGATAAGTTGGCGGTTCATTCCGCTGTGGCGACCCCAGATTAATAAAGGGACTAAGCCTACAAGAAAATGAATAAATTAATGAATGTATCTGGCCCCAGGAGTGAGTTTTATTAGACAATCATTATTTTAGAGTGTTCACCCTTAATGTTTCGGCGGCGACACGTCATGTTTGTCACGTGACACACCACAGCCACAATAGCGATGTATGACAGATGTGTTTCTTTTATTATGCTTTTCCTTATTAATACAAAATATTCACACACTTGCTCATCATGTCATCAACTACCTGATATTTCAACTCACAAAAACATGTAAGTGAGTGTTTTCTGTTGTTTAAAAGACGTATAAATGATCTTGATTGTGATCTAAAATGTGAAATGGGCCTCGCCATGTTTAATTGTGGCCTTGCGCATGCCTCATTCATAAGAGCGGGACATGCAGGATTCAGCACGTAAATTCATCAAACAAGTGGCTGGCCAGCTGGGAGACGAAAAGATTGAACTTTATTGTTACGTGTATCTGATAGAAATAATACACATCTGCAAATTATATTTAAATTGATTATTAGTCTTCTATAGACTTTCTTGTGTTTTACAAACTCTAAATGTATGGTTTTACTAGTACCTGTGTGTATTCACATGTCTAAAACATAAAATAAGCATTGGGTGGTTAAAAACACTGCATAATTGTGATACGCCACAGCTCAGTTTGGATTTTTCACTTTATGCTTGTCAAGCTGGATGACAAGTAAACACCAACACCAGGGACATTATGTTCCTCAATTCAAAACGAAACAAAAGTAGGATTCTGTAATGATTTACCCTGCTGTTGCTCCCTTCCTCCTTATCAAAGACTCCAACATGTTTTTGTTTCAGATGCTGGATCATTGCCGTGGTGCTCCCGTCATCACGTTTTAATATTTGGCCGCCGTTAACACACTTTTTTTGTGTTTTTAATGTGAAATGCTCCACACCTTGGATTACTAGCGTCACACAGATATCGCTGCCTTCGCCATGTATCTTTTCTCCAACTTTACCTTAGATCATTTTTTCTGCTCTGTCTTGTCTATAAGGCGCTGAACTCTGCTGGCATCAGTGTGAGACAGAATGAGTGTGTTCACTCCACTCCGCGCTCAACTAAAATTCTTTTAATAGTCAAACGTCCCCGCGACACAATGAATCGCTTATGAAATTCATTGGCAACACTTTTAATAATCAATTTTAATCCATTTAATCGATTCGTTGTTGAAGCCCTAATCATATGTTCAATTTAAGCATTCATATCATACGTGTGACAAACTGTTGTGTCAGAATTGATTGTGCACTAATATCAGAAAAAGATTAGTAGTTTACAAATTATACTGAATTATTGTGCAATTTCTTGGTATTTTCTATGTAATGTAATGTACAGCTTGTCCTTGTACAGTAAAGGTTTATTGCATATAACAGAATGATAAAAACATACACTAAAACTTAGCATGATAGCACAAAAATATTCTCTAAATTATTATTATTATTAATATTATTATTATTATTATTAGTAGTAGTAGTAGTAGTATTTTTATTAACCTTTCAACACTATTAACCTTCTTAAAAAATAAAGTACTGTACCTTCTTAATTTTTGTGAGGTTGAATTAAGGGAAATAGTTTTTATGTGACATGACAAAAATATTCTAAATTTAGTCATTATGCCTTCCAATGCTCCTAATAATAAGTACAATTATTTCTGAAGTTTATGCATTGCGTAATACTATATGAATACTCTTTTTAATAATAATACATTTATATAATATATTTATATAAATGATAAATTATATAAATTTCCTCTACATAAAAACTTTAAAAGTGCTTATTTAATTAGTTATAGTTTTATTTTTTTTATACTGTAAGGGGATAATGAAGAAAAATAACTTTATTAGCTATTTAAAATAATTTATTTATGTAGTGATCATACTAAAATAAACGGGTAATAAATATTTTTCTGAGCTGATTATAATAAAAAAGATTAAAATAAAAAATACCACAAATTACTAAATACCTCAGCATAAATTCTGATTCTCATTGGCTATTGTCTTTTTCCTCTCATCTCAGAGTATTAGTTTTTAATTTAAGCTCTGGGTTCAATAAACCTCATAGGGCTTAGTGGCCATGTACGTGGACGGCACATTTTAGCTCTTATGTCTTATTTTTTTTTAATATTTTGTGTCATCCTGCAACTGTTTTGCAGCATATGAAACGTTCCAAACACTATTTTAACTGTCCAAAAATGTTGTTTTTACTGATAGTCAAAACATGTTCAAAAGTATGTGTGTATGTGTTATTAATGTATTAAAAAACAGTCAGGAAAAACTGCTGTGTTCAAGGCAGAAATAAAGAGTTTTTCACTTTATTACACAAAGGTGACTATTGTGTTTTATGGAAATTCGGACCACAAGGTCATATATATGGACATCATTATAAATCATTATAAAAGATTATACTTGGGTTTTATACTAATTGGGTTTTATACTAATAAGCCCAAATAGCAAATAGCAAAGAGAAAAAAAATGCATGTGGGGAAAAAACAAAACAAAACAAAACAAAACAAAACAAAAAACTTGGGCCTTAAGAGGCTTTAAGAGGTTAACAGAACCTACTGAAGCTGTTCTGACTAAACTGCGAAGACTCAGCAACACTTTCAAGTCATATGTGACAACTGTTAACTGTCCGTCTTTAACAGCACTTTGTGCTTCAATCTTTATAGTCACTAACTTTAATTTCCAGAAGTTATTGTCCGTTGGTGAGTAAATGAGCCCAAGCATTTGCCCAAAAATACCAAGGCATGTATTTTCATGTATTCTCCCCATCTGATTGGTCCGATTTGGATAAACAACCTATGTATGCAGCACACAAACGCTTGGCACATAAAATTAACTTAATAAAATACACTTATATTGCATATACTATCATTTTGATCATTTCAATATTATTCGCCCCCGAAGTAATTTTTTTTTCCGAATGTCTTCAGAACAAACTATCATTTTACAATGACTTGCCCAATTACCCTAACTTGCCTATTTAACCTAATTAACCTAGTTTACCCTTTAAATTGCGCTTCTAACATAAAAAGTATCTAGTAAAATATTATTTACTGCCATAATGGCAAATATAAAAGAGATCAGTTATTAGAAATGAGTTATTAAACCTATTATGATTAGAAATGTGTTGAAAAAATCTTCTCTCCATTAAACATAAATTAGGGAAAAATTATACTGGGAGGCTAATAATTCAGGAGGGCTAATAAGCCCCAATCCAAATTTCATTTTTGTACCCCTTTTGTACCCCTATTTTTGTGGCCCTTAAAGCCGAGTGTGAAGGGGAAGGGCTTAAAAATTTACCCCTAAGAAATGGGACAGCACTACAGCAACACACGTCATCATATGTCATGGCGATCTCTTGCTTCATATGAGATTAGACGATCGCGACTGATGTAGTTATTCCAGCTGCTTTATTTTAATTATATGTTAAACATGTATTGCATATACTGCGCATTTTCAGAGTGGCCATATTCATCTATGTAAAAACACAAAAAACAACGTTAACATTATAGCAGACACTGTAAAAAGCCCATTCCCAGCCACTAGACTTTTCTGACAGGGTATTCGAGTGTCATCGAGTGACTGAATTTTGTGGGACTGCTGTACAGGAGTTATTATTATGGATTATAGATAGCGAAATTTAACATATTTTATTTTAGCGTTTTTTTTTTTTTAAGCATGATGGTAGAACACGAACTCGGTTATGAATGTATTAAAACATGTTTGTTTGTTGTAAAAATTCATAAAAATGACAACAAAATACTAGTTTGTGCATCTATTGACTTCCGGGTGCAGCTATACTGCCATTGTGACTGGTGTATTCTGGGAAAATTTCCTACCCCTTGGTTTCGAGTGTGGTCCTGAAAAATCTCTGTTCGATGGGGTATCTACCCCTTTCCCTAAGCCCTACGCCTTCAAGCTAAATGGAATTGGGACACCCCTATTCTTTAACTTAAAAGCTAAGGGCTGAGGGAAGGGCTATGGGTAGATTTGGGATTGGGCCTTAATGACTTCAACTGGACCTACAAGAAAGAACTACAGTTCAGTCATTACTTTTGTCTTTCTGCCTTGTTTTCTCAGAGTTTGCAGGAGGAGATGAACCACAACGGAAAGACGATGTTGAACATCAACCAGCTTTTGCAGCAGATCTTTGGGGAGGCCATTAGTTCCGCCTACCCTGACCTAGAGAACCCACCACTCTCGGTCACCCCCAGTCAGCAGGCTAAGTTTGGCGACTATCAGTGCAACAGTGCCATGGCCATGTCTCAGGTTAGTTTCATTTAAACCATGTCTTGTTTTTATTTTTTAAGTTAATAGAACTCTGGAACTTTCTTTTTATGTCTCTCCAGACTTCATATAGAAGAAAATTCAATAAAACATGCCACTATGTTCTATTTTGCCGAATTTTATTATTAAGTATAAGTATTCAAATGATTTAAATTTATCTTTTAAGATGATGAAAGCCAAAGGACTGAAAGTCAGCCCCAGAGAGATCGCAGAGAAGATCGTCCAAAACATTCCCAACAATGACTTAATTGAAAAAACTGAAATTGCTGGGCCAGGTATAGTTTCAGAACACTGTAATTCTTTTCCACTCCTGATTTTAAAGATTTATTGTACTAATGAAGTGTATATTGGATCGTAGGCTTTATCAACGTTCATCTCAAGCGGAACTTTGTCTCTAAACTTCTCTCAAATGTGCTCGTCAATGGAGTCCAGCCTCCGCCGCTTCAGAAGAAAAAGAAGGTACAAATTTCACTTTGGCTTGTATTGCAACATAGGGCTATAAACTATAAAGCCATGTGTTCTTTTTCTTTTGTTATCTTCATTTTTTTCAGGTCATTGTGGACTTCTCTTCACCTAATATTGCCAAAGAGATGCACGTCGGTCACCTGCGATCCACCATTATTGGAGACAGCATGTGTCGACTCTTTGAATTTCTGGGTTATGAAGTGCTAAGGTTAGTTTCGATAAGATGTGAAGCTCAACTGTGGGCTTATATTAAAGGTACATTTTGTAAGATTATTTCAGTAAAATATTGAAAAAATACAAAAAAAAGTATTATATATTCTAAATTTACATAATCCTAAATGTTTCAAAAAATGTTCACATCCAGAAAAATAAGCAATTCTAACATATCGTGTCCTGTGTGGCCTTGCTAATGACATTAAACACCCTCGACTAGTGGTTTTGTTGCATACAAGGTGTCCACAGGGTCAGGTATCTTAAATTTCAAATAGAAAATTTTAGGCTTTGAAAAGGCATATCCTTTCTGAAAAATGGTTTTGTGGGTCATTTTTAAAAACTATTTTAAATTAATTTAAACATAATTTTCCTAGATCCATGTAAAGCTACCCGGTCGCGCAAACACCCATGAGGTATGCAGTCGACATCAATCCATCTCAAAACTTTTTTCAAAACTTTGTTTATAACATTTATTTACCAGTGTGGTTTAATTATTTTTCTTACAATAACATTTGTTTAAAAGTTCTTTATGTAATGTGTCTATAGTCCATATATGGCCAGGACAGTGCATATATAAATTTTAATATATGTATATTTTTAAAGCTTGTCCATTTAGTGCAAGTTTAATTTAATTTATTTATAGAGCACATTTAAAAATAGTCTCAAGACTAAACAAGTAAAAAATATAATATAAAGACAGAATATAAAAACATAGAAATAAGACAAGAGAAACAACAAAAAAAAATGTAAAGATGTAGCAGTAGAAAGGACGATTCAAAAAATAAGCCAAGCTAAAAAGTTACGTTTTTAAGGAGTGAGTTAAAAAATAGATCATGATGGAGCCATTTTATTCTCAAGGGGCAAGGTGATCCATAACCGAGGACCCGCTACAGAAACGTCTCTGCCCCCTCTACGTTTCAGGAACTAAAAGAAAGTTTTGTTTACTTGATTGAAAAGTTCTCACGGTAATGTAAAAATGCAACAGCTCTGAGAGATAGGTTGGGGCTAGATTATGAAGGGATTTATATATTAGTAAAAGTACTTCAAAATCAATTCTGAATTGGACGTGCAGCCAATGGAGGCCTCTTAAAAGAGGGATAATGTGGTCCTATTTTCTGCTTTTACAGATAAATCTCGTCGCAACATTTTGTACCAACTGAAGGAGAGAAATTTGAGATTTTGAAATGCCACAGTAAAGTTAGCATTGCAGTAGTCTAACCGTAACGAAATAAAAGCGTGGACAGCCATCTCTAGTGTGGTGGGATTTAAGAAAAGTTTGACTTTAGCCAGCAAATGGAGTTGATAAAAACTGGAGCCAGTAACCAAACTAATTTGTCTGTCTAGTTTCAATGACTCATCAGGGATGACACTCAGATTGCGGATGCGGGGGGATCTGAAGGCAGTTAAGCAGCCCTGATCTAGGCATGAGGCCTGAACATTATCAGTAGAGTTGAAGACAGTCACCACTGTTTTATCATCATTTAATGTTAAAGAATTGTGGGACAGCCAGGTTTTAATCTTGTCAAAGCACCTTAGGTCATAAGGTACTAAGAGTGAGAAGGTCATTCCTCTTAATAGGTAAGTAAATCTGGGTGTCATCAGCATAGAAATGAAAAGACACCCCACAATTGAGATCAGCAAAAGAGAATGAGAAGTTACCTAATTTGACTGAAAAATTTCTATCAGATAGAAAAGACTTAAACCATTTAAAGCACTGTGCCTTTCAAGCCCTCATCTGACCAATCTGGACAGCAGAATAGAGTGGTCAACAGTATTAAATGTATCAAACAGTCTCTTTTAAACAAAAAAAAAGCCATGTTGGGAAAAAATGTGTATGAAAACTATGTCTATTTGCTTGCTGACACATTGACACCTTATTTTTGTGGCTAAGAAAAAAACTCAATTCAGTTTTTGTGATTGGGCAAGTAACAATCTTTTGCGCTTGCCCAACTGAAACATCAAGAAAAAATCCTTAGCGTTTAGCTTTATGTAAGTCTGAAATGTCATTTATAATGGTCTTTAAAACGTCCTAAAAGTTTTAAATTTGACTTGCAAGCATTGCAATCTTCCGTTTACAGGTGCTCAATGGCTCTGGTCTATGCTGGGTTTTAAAAAGGGCTGCATCTCACATTTTTGATATGCAAAGACTCGTGCTGTGTAAACGAGCCCTTCTCTGCTTTATATAACATATAATAATTTTTCAATATGTTAGCTAATCTAAAAAACAAACATGATTTCTGCAGGAGTTAAATAAAAGTTTTAAATAAAACTTTCTATTAGATGCTATACAATACCTGACAAAAGTCTTGTCATTGATCCCAGTTGTAAGAGCAACAAATAATAACCACTTCTAAGTTGGTCATTTGGAAGAGTTGCAGAAGGTCAGTTTTCCGATGAATCTTCTGTTGAACTGCATTCCAATCATTACAAATACTACAGAAGACCTATTGGAACCCGCATGGACCCAAGATACTCACAAAAGTTTGTCAACTTTGGTGAACCAAAAATCATGGTTTGAGGTTGCATTCAGTATGGAGGCATACGGGAGATCTGCTGAGTGGATGGAAACATCAACAGCCTGAGGTATCAAGACATTTGTGCGGTCCATTATATTACAAACCACAGGAGAGGGCAAATTCTTCAGCAGGATAGCGCTTTTTTTGTTTTTTTGTTTAATACTTCAGCCTCCACATCAAAGTTCCTGAAAGCAAAGAAGGTCAAGGTGCTCCAAGACTGGCTAGCCCAGTCACCAGACATAAATATTATTAAGCATGTCTAGGGTAAGATGAAGGAGGAGGCATTGAGGATGAATCTAAAAGGTTCTTGATGGAGTTCTGCTGGGAGTTTTGCAAGAAGGCTTTCTTTGCCATTCCAGATGACTTTATTAATAAGTGATTTGAGTCATTGCAGAGATGCATGGATACAGTCCTCTGAGCTCATGGGAATTAAACACAATACTGTACATTATTTCTGTTAAGTGACAATACTTTTGTCTAAGCAAAGTCAGACCTTACTGTCCTAATTATATTAAAATCATGGCATAACCGTATTTTATTTAGGTAGAATAAGTGTAATCTAGAGGCCTTTGTCTTTCACATGAGCCACCTCTGATACCAAATGATCAACTAGGAGTCAAGTTATTATTTGTTGTTCCTAAAACTTGGGTAGGCAACAAGACTTTTGTCAGGTAGTGTACAGTAATATATTTGTCTATATACAGTTCCGGAACTAATCTTACAAAATTATTTAAAATTACATTATAACAGTTTGTATATCCCAATAAATATATTATGCAAAAAATTAAATGAAGTTTTAATTCAATTTAATTCATCTTTATTTCTATAGCGCTTTTACAATGTATATTGTCTCAAAGCAGCTTCACATAAAAGATTATAGTAAATTGAAACCCTGTCAGTCTAGTTTTTAGAGTTTGAGTTCAGTGTAGTTCAGTGTGGTTTAATTTTCTTTGTTGAAAGTCTAAACAATGAAGAGTAAATCCATCGATGCGCAGCTCCACAAGTCCCAAACTATGCAAGCCAGTGGCGATAGTGGTGGGGAACAAACTTCACCAATTGGCGAAAGTAAAGGGAAAAAAAAAATCAGGAAACCAGGCTCAGTTGGGCACGACCATTTCTCCTCTGGCTAAATGTCTTGTGCAGAGCTGCAGTCTTGGCACCAGAGGCTGGAGAAAGCAGGACGTCCCTTGTGGAGAAGCTGCAGGTGGGAGAGGTCACCAGCTGGTGTACAGGCTGGCCCTTCAGGATTAATGCGAAGACTCATCTGTCACTGGGGTCTTACAGGAATCCGTCTCATGCTCTCCACTCCTCCATGACCACCACAGCAGCCTCTCAGAATGGGGCCTGGTCCAGGATTATGGAAACCTCTGGAATAATAAAAAAGACTAACATAAGTGCAGATGCCGTTCAACTTATGTCTTTTGGGAAGTGTTCTCGGCTCCGGTTGCCCCTAAATAATGCAGACTAACAATCCTTTAAAGGATTTGGATTTCATAAGCATTTGTGTTTTAATCATTGTGTTAATAAATCCGACAAATTAAGAGAACCATAATGTTGGGTGACAACTCTTTTTTTTTTTTATAAAAAATGGTTAGAACAACTTCATTCGGATGTACCAAAATATATGGTCTACGTTCACAGAGAAATCGATAAAAATCTACATTTTCAAAGAGGATTTACTCATTTATATAAAAGGTTTTAAATGCAATTAACAATTTCTCCATGATTAAGAAACCTCTATTCTCAGCCAGAAAGTCAAACATATATTAACCACTTTGCTCTCTCTAAAGCAAAAATGCTATTCTTTTATTGCATGTCTTTTGGCTGGTAATCTGAATGTTCACTGAAGCTTAAGTGCACCTCTTTTGTCATTTCATCCTCTATCTGTCAGGTTGAACCATGTTGGAGACTGGGGGACACAGTTTGGGATGCTCATCGCTCATTTGCAAGACAAGTTCCCAAATTATCTCAGTGTGTCTCCACCTATTGGTGACCTTCAGGCTTTCTACAAAGTGAGTATCTGTTAAATTCAAAACAATTGTTTAACCTAAACTTGGTGGCACAGCTTTGTTGTTTTTTTGCAGGCTAAAATGATTTAAAAACAACTTGGTTTGCTTGCGACAGTGCTTGCCCATCTTTTTGACTGTCTTCTGATGATCTGTGCTTTAAATGTCAGCTTTAAATGTCAGTTGGAACGAACTACCAGTCTAATAAACAATAAACAAATAAATATAAATAAATTAAATATGAAAATATGAGGTGGTTGTTCCCTCTTATAGACATTTGAAGCTGACAAAATGTGCTACCCCTGTTTTTTTTTAGATGAAACATGACAGATTGAGCACAAATCATTAGTTTCTGAGAGTATTTTCATTCACATTGAAGCCTCTGTTTTCATATCGAAATCTCATTTAGAAGTTATGAACCAAACCTAAATGATTATATGCTGAATCACAATACAAGCAAAAATTTAATTAAAATTAAAAATCTCACATAAAAAAAAAATTAATTTAGAGAAACAACTATAGTCCCATGATGCATTGCAAACAATTGAATCAGAATGTAGACACCTATCCATCCATGTTTCCCCTACCATTACTATGGTAATACCATTACCATCTCTCCTGCCCACTGTTTCCACTACCAGTACCATCCTACCCACCCAGTGTTTACCCTATCAGTACCATCCCTCCTGCCCAGTGTTTTTCCTATCATTACCGCTTGTCTGTACCATTACCATCCCTCCTGCCCAGTGTTTTATCCCTCCCTACCATTACCATACCTCCGTAACATTACCATCTCTCATGCCCATTGTTTCCCCTAATATTACCATTCGTCCCTACCAGTACCTCCCTCCTTCCCAGTGTTTGTCCTACCATTACCATCCCTCCCTACCAGTACCTCCCTCCTGCCCAGTGTTTGTCCTACCATTACCATCCCTCCCTACCAGTACCTCCCTCCTGCCCAGTGTTTGTCCTACCATTACCATCCCTCCCTACCAGTACCTCCCTCCTGCCCAGTGTTTGTCCAACCATAACCATCCCTCCCTATCAGTACCTCCCTCCTGCCCAGTGTTTGTCCTACCATTACCATCCCTCCCTACCAGTACCTCCCTCCTGCCCAGTGTTTGTCCTACCATAACCATCCCTCCCTATCAGTACCTCCCTCCTGCACAGTGTTTGTCCTACCATAACCATTCCTCCCTACCAGTACCTCCCTCCTGCCCAGTGTTTGCCCTACCATTACCATCCCTCCCTATCAGTACCTCCCTCCTGCCCAGTGTTTGTCCTACCTTTACCATCCCTCCTGCCTAATGTTTACCCTACTATTACCACCCCTCCCTAACATTACCATACTTCCCTACCAGTACTTCTCTACTGCCCAGTGTTTGTCCTACCATTACCATCCCACCCTACGAGTACTGTCCCTCCTGCCCAGTCTTTCCCCTACCATTACTAACCCTCCCTACCAGTACGGTCCCACTTGCCCAGTGTTTACCCTATCAGTACCATCCCTTCTTCCCAGTGGTTTCCCTATCATTACCACTCGTCTTTACCATTACCATCTCTCCTGCCCTACCATTACATCCCTCCCTATCATTACCATCCCTCCCGCCAAATGTTTTCTCTACTATTACCATCCCTCTCTACCTTTACCATCCCTCCTGCCCAGTGTTTCCCCTACCATTACTATCCCTCCCTACCATTATCATCGCTCCCTACCAGTACCATCCCTCCTGCCCATTGTTTCGATTCCCTGCAAAAACTAAGGGCCCCCTAAACTCAAATTTCTTTTTTTTTTTTTTTTTTAATAAAAAAAAAAAAATGTTGTAAAAATTCACAAACATATACAGAAACTGCTAAAATCTGCTGTTCTTTGCAGGTCAGTGGAAAGACTGCACACAGTTCATTTGTTCTGACGCATTAGATATGCATTTTACATTTGCAAAGTACATCCAATGTGCATTATTTATTTTACTTTTCAAAGCTATTCAACACCTTTGTTCCTCTTGCCTTCATCAGGAGTCTAAGAAGAGGTTTGATGAGGATGAGGAGTTTAAGAAGAGGGCCTACAAATGTGTGGTTAAACTCCAAAGCAAAGAGGCAGACTTCATCAAAGCCTGGAACCTCATTTGTGATGTCTCCCGGAAAGGTACGTGTGAGACATATAAAGACATTCCGTTCTCGCAATATCACATTTTAAATAGACTAAAACCTGTACAGATTGCATGCACCCTTAGTTACTGTATTTTATTCCTGACAGCAGAGAGGATGGAATATTAGCTGAACCAACAATAAGTAATTTGTTGAGTAATTTGGCAGTAAGTAGTTTAGTGGACTGTAACTATAGATAAAATGAATTGGTAACTGCTAAAGAATCAAGTTAAGCTATAAAAATGCAAACAATTACAATTTAACTAAAAAGACATTAATATAGCTCATTTAAAAACAACACAATTTAACCTAAGTGCTTTGCAATGGTTATTATGGACACTATAAGGAAGATACCCCCACCTTCTAGCAGATCAAGATGGACCAAGAGGGACACAAGGAATGTTTTTTCCTACGACACATTTACAAAAATGCAATTTTGTTCTACCTGAACTATGACCTAATCCTGGCTTAGCCTAAACCCTGCTTTTACGTTTTATATTTAGGGTGATTAATTGAAATTAATTGCATTTACATTTTATTATTAAAATTATAATCAAGTATTTACTAGAAGCAAACATATAAAAAATAGAAATATATAATATAATATAATATAATATAATTTAAATCTTTATCATTTTTAGATTGGTAATGGATTTTTTAAAATTAATATTTCTTAAGTTTTCTTTTCAAAGTACTCTACTACTAACTGAGCATAAAGAAACTTTTGCTCATTCGGCCTCCACTCAATTTTCTTGCATGAGATTTAAAATGCAAGTAAAAAAACCTAAAAGTGCTCACTGTTCAGTTGTAGGATGTGTGTAGTTATAGGATACCAAACCTTTTGTGCACTGCCACAGACACCACAAATGACATCACTTTTGGCATGAGCTTATGCTTGTAAAAACAGGCTTAAAAGTCTTAAAAGTAATGTTTTCTAAGTACAGTAGAGGTCAGTATATAGCCATCACAGTAGCAGGGTAAAAAAGAACAGACTCCAGAAAGTCGAATAATAAATCAAAACATAAAGACTGATGCTGCTCTGCATCTATTAAAGAAATATTGAATAAAATGAGGAAATAAAGGTATTCATTAATTATCTGCATTGACCTTTAATATAATCTACTTGCACAAATACTTAAATTCACATTTGATGTGAATCATATGCTCTCGTTTGCAATATAAAATATATCTGACCAGATTTGAGATTGACAAGGGTTAAACCAAGAAGTAATAATAATACATCTTTTATATGTTTTTTTTTTCTACTTTTGATTAAATTCTATCATATTTTTAACCGATTAGTTTATCGGATAAAAACTTATTACTTTTTAATTTCATGTTTAGCTTATTATAACTATATAAATCCATAAATCAGGGTATTATGTATAAAAGTATATTTTAATATGTGGCAAAAGCCACAAATTGAATTGAATAATTTTAAATTTTGACATTTAAAACATTAAATGAAATACTGAGTTTGTTTGAACCGTAAAACTAAATAAAAATAAACAAAAGGCAAAACTAGTGTTGTACTCCTATTATATTGGCATTATGAAATCAAGATAAACATGCTGACAACAATAATTTGTTGAAATATTAAAATTAGGAATCCTAAATGCACAACAAATATTTCTATTTGAAATCCGAGGTAGAAATCAGAAGAGCAGGTAAACTTTCACTGCTCAGAAATTATATTCATATAACATATATCGCAGCAAAACAAAATATCGAAAATTAACAGAATATATAATGTCAGATTTTTCCAATATCGCACAGCCCTGGTATGTGTCGTATGTTATAGTGACTGGCTGGAATGTAATGTAGCCTACTATAAAAATTGAATTTGTCATTTAATTTTCATTGCATGGTTGTGTTCACATTACTTTGTATTTTTCTTGGAGCGAAACATATAATAATAATACTGAATTTTAAAGCAGTTTAACATTTTAAAGCTTTATCATTGGGTATAACGTCATTTAATGACTACTTATTTCTTTACGGAATGCTTACGAACAACTAATTATGAACAAACTAGGAACTAAACAACAAATTTAGTTACAAACTAGCTAGTAGTTACTAAGCGCTAGTGTATTGTTGTCAAAAGTATCGAGTTTAGTACCAATCGTTACTGAACACATTGTTAAACAGCACTCAACAGAAATGACTAACGAACTAATGACTTTCACAGCCAACCACAGTCATTTCTGTTTTGCACATGAACACAATGGCCAATCAGTGGTGTTTATGAACATGCTTGACAGCACTCAAATGTTAGTGGGAAATGGATATTTGAAAAATTTCTGTAGCGATTGGTACAGAACTTGAAACTTGATACTTTTGACTACCCTACTCAAGTGTGGAGTACATTCCAGTTAAGCAAGAACTTACAAAACACTGTCGCAACCCTACCCAGGGCTGTTATTTTTATATTTAATGCAGAGGACAAACCAGTTGACAGAGATGGCCTACTTTACAACACTTCTGTTTCCTGCGACTGCAACTCTAGACTGATATGACAGCATCTAACTTTACCCCTTAATCAAGCCCTCGCTCCTCCGCTGAGGCTTATCTAATGAAGGTCAATTAGTGTTTATTTACTTTTTTTTCTGCTGATGCCATCCAATCGGGCTTTGCTAAATCAGGTGAGTGCTGCGTTTGATTTCCCTGTGGTGTGACTGCTGTAATTAAACCATCTTGTCCCTTCCGCTTCTGTCCACTTTGCTGATTTGCAGAGTTTCAAAAAGTCTACAACTGCCTGGATATCAGCATAAAAGAGCGAGGAGAGTCCTACTACCAGGACATGATGACTGCGGTGGTCAAAGAGTTTGAGGAAAAAGGTACAGTGGAAGTTGATTTTTTTTATTATCTTTTTTTTTTTGGTCGTTCTTAAAGTAATTAGAAAAAGTTGTATTCGTTCTAGTTAGTTCACCTAAAGATGAAAATTTTGTTGTTAATTTATGACTCTAATGTTGATGTAAACTCCCAAAAACTTAACTCAACTTAGGAACACAGGTTTTGATTTTGACCTGAGACATTAAAAGTCATCAAAACAGTAATTGTAATCATACAAAGCCCCAAGAACAACTTTGTAACACCTCATCAGTGTTAGGAAAGTTGCTTAAACAAAAAAATCAATTACTATATGCATCATTAACATTTGTATTTAAGTTACTTTTCTGAATACTTTGTCTGAAAAGTTATTAAAAGTAAAAATCCACATAAATCTCAAGACATTAAATAGAACTAGGCCCACACGGAATCTGTGTGCGCAGAAATCCGCAGATTTATAGCCCATCATTTAGTCTATGTATTTACTTGTGTGAATGTGTGTACATTTCAGCTTTTTAATATATTTTCTCTAGTATTATTGTGACATAATCGCAGAAATATTAAAATGCTCATATGATTTATTTACAATACAGCTTGTAAAGTAATATTCTTTGTCTTTTAGTAGAAAAAATATATTAGAGACTTGCTTTGTTTACCAAATAAGTGGATCTAATTGGATTTGCATTGTAAACATTAAATAAAAGTTAAAAGGGGATTATTTTTATTTCATATATAAACTTTTTAGTTATGACACTACTAAAATCATTCCATATAAATCCGCAAATTATTATTATTATATATTTTTTTGACACAATTCTCTGTAGAAATAAAAAAATATCTGCAGATTCTGTCTGGCCCTAAATAGAACTTAAACTCTAAATTGATTACATTTTAGTCTTTTTTTTTTCAGGACCTTTTAGTTTAGCTTTTTTTCTTTAATTAAAAATTATATATATTAATAATTTTAATAATTTTATATATATATATATATATATATATATATATATATATATACACATTTATATGTGTATGTATGCATGTATACATATATATATATATATATATATATATATATATATATAAAAATTATAAAAATAATTATAATATTTTATTATATTATTATATATTTTATTATATTTATTTATATATTATATATATAAATATAACATTAACACTGCACTGTGCTGACAAGTAAAAAAAATAAAATAAAACGTCAACATTCAAATTGAAATGTGCTTTTAAAAGTTAATTAAAAATGGCACTGTTCTTAAAAAGTAAAAAAAAAAAACTGCTGCACTTACATGTAAAGTATTATTATAAAGTATCCTATTCATCAAAACCTGGAAAAGTTCCTTGGACCTCATAAATATATGCAACTTGTCATCAAATTGATATATAAACTCTTTTTGATAAATTTTGTTATAGATGTTACATGCAAATATGACTTATTTGTGTATCTTTGAAATCTAAACATTCACTTATATTTTAAATCTATGAATTGAATTTACATATTTAAATTAGATATAAGATCTGTTTACTGTGCGTTAGAGTAGGCTTTGTGTATCAGAAAAGCAAGTGATTATACTATTCCTGTCAACATTGGGATATAAAAATACAATATACGCCCCAATAACCGTTATAAATATGGGGAGGAATTTAGCTTTAAATTATAGAATACATAACAAACATTAGATAATTTATAATAACATAAAAGATTTAGCATATTAAAATTAATTTACTAATCATATTGGTGTTCTCATACGTGTTAAAGGCTTAAAAGTGTGTTCATTTTTGTTACTTTAATTATTTAGCGATTCCTCCGCATACCACTAAAAGGAAACCTGCGTACCACAGTTTGAGAACCAATGCTTTAAGACATACTCATGATGGTGTTATCCTTGTTTCTGTCTGCAATGGCATGTAATACTGAGTGCTTTTATTTTGTCTATACAATATTGTCATAGTGCACAGCCCTATCTAAATGAAAGTTGCATTAAATTAAAAGTATAATTCCTGAATCAAAAGTCGAGATCAAGGTCCTATAATGCATTTCATAACCTTAAATAAACACCTGTGAACTATACTATAGGTTTTCAATGCAAATTCAATACAATATACACCATCTTTTTTTAACCAGGAGATTTAATTGAGCCAGAAGTTTTTACTGCGCAATCAACAATAAGCTGAGTTTGCTGTCAATAGAGTTTGTTTTTTCCTGAGTTGCACATTTCTAACCGCACATTTCCAGTAGGGGGCAGTGTTGTTTTACGCTTGACTTGATTCCCTCTTTCACATTCTCTGTCGCTCCTCTTCTCTCTCTCGTCAGGGCTGGTGGAGGTGGACGAGGGCAGGAAGATAGTGTTTGCTCCTGGCCAGTCTATTCCCCTGACGATTGTCAAGTCGGATGGAGGCTATACTTACGATACCTCGGATCTGGCTGCCATCAGAAATCGTCTGTTTGACGAGAAAGCTGACATCATCATCTACGTGACAGACAGCGGCCAGGTGTGTGGGTGTAGATCTGGATCTCTGGGTAGCTTGTGTCACAGAGAGTGTTGTGAAATCTTGAACATGCCCCGGAGCACAGTCCTTCCCGCAGATATCTGATGTGTATGAGGACACGTGCAGCAGGGGTCAAGGGCGCCGCTTTCACCCCAGAATTCAAAGCATGTATATTTTTTCGAAATGTGTTCGGTAGACTCCTCAAATATTAATGTGGTCTGGGTCAGGAACACGGTCTGCTCACATCGCTACACGTCTGCTTTACAATTCTGCACTGTGTTGACAATTTGGGTGAATATAATGAAGGAGTCATCATAAAGAAGTTGATCGCAGAAAGTGGGGGTTTTATTCGATTTTTTTTTTACGTTCTTGTAATGAATAGCAGGGCCTGTATTTACAAAACATTTTATCTGATCACTAAAGATTCTTCTAAATAGAAGTAAAAGATTTAACTGAGTTTTAGTGCACCCAAAAAGCAAAATCATGTCAATTTCTCATCCTTGTGTCGTTTCCAATTCTTAGAGACCTTCGTTCATCTTCAATACACAAATTAGAAGGTCAAGGTGCTCTAATATTGGCCAGCCCAGTCACCAGACTTAAACATTATTAAGCATGTCTAGGGAAAAATGGAGGAGGCGTTGAAGATGAATCCATAGAATTTTGATGAACTCTCAGAGTCCTGCAAGAAGGCTTTCTTTGCCATTCCAGATGACTTTATTATTTAGTTATTTGAGTCATTGCAGCGATGTATGGATGCAGTTGTCCAAGCTCATGGGAGTTACACAATATTAATTATTTTTCAACTGCACCATGATGACTTTATATTCTATACTGCACATTATTTCTGTTAAGTGACACAACTTTTGTCTAAGCAAAGTCAGACCTTACTATCCTAATTAAATATTCAAAAATCAAGGAATGATCATATTTTATTTTGGTAAAATAAGTGTAATCTAGAGGCCTTTGCCTTTCATGTAAGCCATTGCTGATACCAAATGATCAACTAGAAGTGAAGTTATTATTTGTTGTTCCTAAATCTTGGACTTTTGTCAGGTAGTGTATTGCCTTGTCCCTCATCCACTGTAATTTGCCGGCTAGCTCAAAAGTAACAATGAACTTGCAATGCCTGAACAAAATGCCAAGTGCTTGACCATGAGTGTAAAACGGCTACTAAACAACTTGCTATGCTGCAGACGCTAAAAAAATGGGGTGGTACTATTGTCACCAACAGAAAACAAACGCTTCGGTGGACAAAAGTCCAAAAAGTTGATCTGATGTGAGTGCTGCGGTCTTTTAAAAATATAAATATGAAAAATCAAAGGATTAAAATGTTATTCATAGTATTATTGATAGTATTAAAGATATTATAATATTGTTTTCTACATTAATATAAAAAATGTCTGTTTTAGTTTACTCAAAAAGAAAAATTATGTAAACAGTAATTTCTCATCCTCATGTCGGTTTTTAATTTTTAGAGACCTTCGTTCATCTTTAAAACACAAATTAAGATGTTTTAGCCCTCTCGTCAACCATTTAAGCTACAGCAATGGTCACAAGATATTCAAAGTGCTGAAAAAGAACCAAAAACTTTGGTAGCATTTTATTTTTATGGTCCATTTGAGAATTAGCAGACTGTAGGCTTAATATCTGTTGATAATGCTGTTAAACAGACATTTAACTGACCATAAACTTTGCAATTAAATGTCAACTTCGCTAACCCTAACCCCAGCCCTAACCCCAACCTCTACTTAAAATCTAATGAGAACTAGTTGGCATGTAGATGCAATGTAACTTAAATTCAACAAACAGACCATCAAAATAAAGTGTGACCAAAACTTTGTCTAAACATTCTACGTGACTTCAGTGTCTCAACTGTAATCATACATAGTTTCAAGAACAATTTTGTCTGCCAAAAAAAAGTCAAAAACTACTTTGTTTGTCAATGGCTTTCTCCTCAGACTAGGTTGTGCATTTACTATGGGGAATACAATACTTGCTTTCTTGGGCTCTTGACTCTTTAATAGCAATTAGGCACCTTTTTTAAACCACTGAATTCACATGTAATGTTTTGGATGTTTTTGGTCTCAAGAACATTGTTGTCGATGGAGGGTATGGGAGCTCTCTGATTTCATTTAAAATATATTAATTTTTCATTCAAAGACAAACAAAGGTCTCAGGGGAGTAGAATATTGTTAGGGTGAGCAATTAATTCCCTAAGAACCAAGAACTTTCCATTTTTTTAAGTGAACTAATCCTTTAAAACCTATTCATAAAGCTGCTGAGACCAACTTTTACTAAGGATTTGATTCTTAAGCTAAGAGCCTTATTGATGCAGTGATGACCTCATTGCTACAAATGATGTCAACAGGCTTACTAATTATGCACACAAGTGATTGGCTGAGGTTGAGGGGTCTCGGTCAGAAATTTATTCATAGGAACTTTTAGAGAGTAGAGCTTGTGTTGCTCTATTCAAATAAATGTTTAGAAATGAAAACATTGATATTTAAATTGAGTGTCTAATTCAACAAGTTTCACAGAACTGGGTTGTGGCTGGAAGGGCATCCGCTGTGTAAAACGTATGGTGAAATAGTTGGTGGTTCATTCCGCTGTGGTGACCTGACCTCTGATAAATAAGGGACAATGCTAAAGGATAATGAATGAATAATTAAACAAATGGTGATTGTCAGGCTCTTGCACTTGTTTTTTTTTTTTTTTTTTGCAACCAGCGGATATGCATATAAACACCCTTTTAATTACCCGAGTAGAATAATTATTGCTAATAGTAAGACATGCAAATGTTTTGACTGCATTCCTGACAAGTTTTACAACAGTCATAATATTCCCACAATTAAAGCCACACCTTTGTAAATCCTTGTTATTATTAAGAGACCTATCATACAACCAAATTAATATTTTTTTGTGTGTGTACTGTAACATTTTACAGCGCCACATTGTTTAAATAACGAATGCATTTGTGCCCATTTGTTTGCTCATTGGGCATGCTGGTCTGAAAAGGCAAGTAAAAAAAACTGCACTCTTGGGGGCCCATCATACCAAACGCACTTTGCCGTTCTAAAAACACTGAGGCGCACGTAATATTCAAGATTTGTGAAGTCGAACAGCTCCGGATAAAACAGTAACCACTAGTCCCTCCTCTGTCTTCAAAAGTCTTGACAACACACACTGCTGTCACCGAACACGGTTTTCCGCAAAGAGTTAACTTTTTTCCAACTGCGAGCGCACAGCAAGCAACAGCAAAAACATGAGGTGCAGCAGGCGGTTAAAGGGTCACGAAACCCCCCTGTCTCAGCACGGTGTTTTAACACCTCTAGTTTAAAAAAAAGTCAGGAAAGTGAGAAAGTCTAGTTCTATTTAGGTAGGAGTGTCGAGGGAGGGAAAGAGGGAAGGTTTTGCATAAAAATGGGAGTTTCCATTTGAGCACGCACTGATTTTCACAGAGGCAAACCAAACACAGACACAGGAGAGAATGACAGTGACTGTGTTTACATGGACAACAGCAGTGGTGTGAAGTAACTAATTACAAATACTCAAATTACTGTAATTAATTACTTTTTCTCAGGAATTGTAAATTACTGAGTAGTTTTAAAAATGTGTACTTATATTCTTACTTGAGTACATTTTTAGTGCTGTATCTGTACTTTTACTTCACTACTTTCCTTCAACCTGCAGTCACTACTTTATTTTTTCTTGTCTATGGTGATTAGGAAAATCAGTCCTGTAATTCCTGTCTAATCAAATCACACATAGAAGGTAAATCTCCTCATAATGAATTACCTCAAGACATGGGCGATTTATAAATGCAACAAACTGTTTGGAATCGTTAAAAGTGTCCAAGAAGACGTCCAAAATCAATATCAGTATTTGACGTCAATAGGATGTTGGTTTAGGATGTTGGTTTGACATTGGATTTTAGTCACTTTCTAACACAACCTAAAATCAACTAAATATCAACGTCATTTAACGTTGTTATTAGACATCAAAACAACGTTATCCTTAGACACTGGCTAGACATTGAATTTTGGTCACTTGACATTACAACCTAAATCTAACCTAATATTAACGTCCTATGACATTGTGTGCCTACTGGCCAATAACTACATGCACTACAGAATGTTACGTTTACACACATCTACAAGTTACATGTAAACGCATCAGCTTTTCACAGCGTAAAACTCACTACTCATTACTCATGAGTACTTTTAAAAGGGCTACTTTTTACTCATACTTTGAGAAAAATTTACAACAGATACTTTTACTCTACTTGCACTACATTTTTAGGCATGTAATGGTACTTTTACTTGAGTATGATTTTTCAGTTCTCTTTCCACCACTGGACAACAGTAATCGAATTGTTTGCCAAATATTTAATTTGTCGACTTTAACTCCAGTTTGGCACTTTCACTTTCATTCAGGAATATATTTTATGCATGCCCCCCACATGACAAACAAGATACTGAATGCGTGGAACTGCTGAAAGAGTGTAGTTTTTTTATGGAATGTTTGATGCCGCACAGCGAATAGGAGAAAAGAAAGATTTAGATGAACTCGGTAGGTAGTGTCAGAAAGCCGTGTGTGTATAGACTATCCTGTCACAAAATATGGCAAAAATTCTGCGCTCTCATAGCAGGAAATTACAATAAAACCTTAATTGCAGCACATTTATAAACAAAACACTGATGACACATGTCTCCAAACAATTCTTGTTCTTCCACTTGTTTTGGCAACACAATGTGGTGTCTCTAGCATGCATATTAATGAAGTTGACCTCATTCACTGTAGAGTGCACTGATTGGTTTAAACCAAGTCTATCTTTTGAATTAATGGTGAACATTCAGGTGTCATGATGTACTTGCTGATACAGACATCCAGTCTTCACGCTGGTATACACACAAGGATCTAATCACTGTGACGTAGCTTCAAAAATTAGTTTCAAACTAGAAGAACGAATTTGCTCAAAATAACGCAAAATAAAACCAGTTTTCACTTTTTAGTAAGAAATATGTGTCCTAATAGTGTTTTTTAGCGGTGTGGGACACATATACGACTGTAAACATCTTAAAAAATGTGTTTTGGTGTTTCATGACCTTTTAAAACATGAGGCGCGCAGCATAAGCAGCGCACGGAACGCTCGCGGCGGTTAGTAAATCAGTCAAAAAAGGCGCACATCAACGCAAAAAGTACATTTGGTGTGTTTGGCCCCTTAGGCTACGTGTTCACCAATCATTTGCATGATATTGTCCTGCCCTTCCCCCACTGTGATTTTTACGTCTAGCTCAAAAGTGACAATGAACTTGCAATGCTTAAAAAAATACAAAGTGCTCACCCATGAACAGGAAACAGCCACTTGGCAACTTGTTACGCTGCAGGACTTCAAAGATGTGGCGGGACCATTGACGACTAAAAACAAACACTCAGATAGAGAGGGAAAAAAAAACGCTTTAGTTGATATGCAGCCTTAACCAACTAAATGTTGATCCAACGTCAGTGGTGCAGTTTAATAAAACTGTAAATATGAAAAATCAAAGGTTTAAGATATAAAATAATATTATTGTCTGTACAAATATAAAAATGTCTTCATGTCTTAATGGACAGCCATTGCATGTATCAAAATTACCTGTTTGCAGTAATGACAAATGAAATTGGCTAATTATTTGACTAATCGATCAGTTTCCTCGCTGGTGAAGCTTTTATTTTTTCCACTTACAAAGTCCGCCATGTAAATAGTGAATCCACCATGAAGCGAATGCAACTGTCTCTTAAAGGCAAAGGGAGATGAGACTTTGATTGGTTTAATGCACATTGTGCAAAAAGCACACCCAAAACTCATTAAGAGAATTAGGACAGCTCTTAGACTATGCGTATACTGTTTTTCTTATCCTTAAACTAGCAAAGGTGGATTCAAACATAGCTTAAGTCTACCTGCGCTGTGTGCTTTAAACCATATGCTTGGATCGTTAAAATAGAGCCCCAAATGCTTGTAAAATGTTTTCTTTCCAAGGAAGTTTGGCTGTAACAGCTATTTTAGGATAGCTTGTTGTTTGGTCTTAAATCGTCCACTTCACTGCCTCTGATGTTATATGGATTTAGGAGCTAGCTTTTTGTGAAATGGACTGATGCACCAATTATTTTTAAGATTTTCTCTTAAGTCGGCAAGTTAAGAGCTTAAGGTGCTTTGTAAATGTATGCCCATTTATCTAAATCTTTTCTATGTGTGTGTGTTTGTGTGTTTTTTTCATTGGCATTGACTGCAACTTTCGGAAGGCAATGCACTTCCAGGTGATCTTTGCTGCCGCTCAGCTGATTGGCTGGTATGATCCCAAGGTCACACGGGTGGAACATGCAGGTTTCGGTGTTGTGCTCGGAGAGGACAAGTAAGTGCACTGATCATTTTAGAAGTCACCTTTGTAGTTTTCCCACCAGGGTGACCCAGAGGGCTGCAACATGTAGTAGTCTGTAAAAATAATAATGATTTATATTGCTTTGTAAATTGATTTCTGATCATTAGGGCCAAACAAAATCGGCAGACATTTTTTGCTGTTTTTTTTTTTTCAAAGTATTGTAAAAATTTGCAGATTTATGCTTAATCGCATAAAAACTTAATATGTTAAAAAAATGTAAACAAAACAAGTCTCTTATAAAAAGACAGAAAATATAACTTTACAAACTGTATTGTAAAAAAAGTCTTATAAACATTTTCATATTAGTCAGTAATATTACTTAAATTAATTAAAAATAGAAGAAATATAAGTTTACACAAGTAAATAAATAGGCTCAATGATTGGCTAAAAATCTGCGCATTTCTGCGCGCGAAGATTCTGTGTGGGCCTACTGATAAGAAGCCTATTGATAAACAATTATTTTGCCCTCACTTTAAATGCATTGAAATGCTTTACTATGAAAACAATGTTTAATTATTGATTACTTTATTGCAAAAATTTAGAAAGGATTGCATTCAATTTAGTAAGAATGACTAAAGGAAAATGACGAAATATTTCCTCTCAGATTTGGAAGATTCTAAGGAAAAAGCCTTTTATGGTTTCAACAAAAGTAATAAGCAGCAAACTGCTTTTAACGCTGGCAATGAGAAAGCTTTTCTGAGCAATTTGAAATGATTTCTGGAGGATCATAGAGAATGAAAGCTGAAGTAATGGTAAATGAAAAAAGCTGGAATAAATCACAGGAATAAATTAGAGTTTAATATATATTAAAAACCGAGAAGCATTTTTCATAGTATTACCGTTTTAATGTGTTCAATACAATAAATAGAACTTTGGAGAGCAGAAGAAACATAAGGCATTAATATCTTTTAAATGGTAATTTAATTTTACTATTATATTGTTGCAAGCATTTTTTTCAACAACATGTTAAAATACACAATTCTAAGTAAATTAATATTTTATTTGAAACCTTCATTTATTGCATTAATACTCTCACCGGCCACTTTATTAGGTACACCTTACTAGTGCCGGGTTGGACTGCCTTTTGCCCTCAGAACTGCCTAAATCCTTTATGGCATAGATTCAACAAGGTACTGGAAATATTCCTCAGAGATTTTGGTCCATATTGACTTGATAGCATCAGGTAGCTGCTGCATATTTGTCGCTGCAAATTTCCCGTTCCACCACATCTTAAAGGTGCTCTATTGGATTGAGTTCTGGTGGCTGTGGAGGCAATTTGAGTACAGTGAACTCATTGTCATGTTTAAGAAACCAGTCTGACAGGATTCACACTTTATTACATGGCGCGTTATCCTGCTGGAAGTACCCATTAGAAAAGATTTGTACACTTTGGTCATAAATGGATGGACATGGTCAGCAACAATACTCAGGTAGGCTGTGGCATAGACACAATGATCAATTTACACTAATCGACCCAAAGTGTGCCAATAAAATATCCCTCAAACCATTACACCACCAGCAGCACCCTGAACTGTTACTTTCATGTTGTTGATGCCAAATTCTGACCCTACCATCCAAATGTTGCAGCAAAAATCGACACTCAAACCCTAGCGATGATTGTGCATGAAAATCCCAGTAGATCAGCAGTTTCTGAAATACACAGACCGGCCCGTCTGGCACCGACAAAGTCACTTAAAGTCACTTTTAAAGTCACTTAAATCACCTTTCTTCCCCATTCTGATGCTCTGTTTGAACTGCAGCAGATCATCTTAACCATGTCTACATGTCTAAATGCATTGGGTTGCTGCCATGTGATAGGCTGATTAGAAATTTGCATTAATGAGCAGTAGGACAGGTGTACCTAATAAAGTGGCCGGTGAGTTTATAGTCACATATTAAACTTAAAACAAAACAGTTCATACGTTGTTTGAAGGAGTAAAATCAAGCAAGATGCCCAAGTAGAATATTACTATTCAACTAATCAAAGAAATAATTGACAAACTAATCAGTTATCATCAAAAATAATTACAAGTTGCAGCCCCAGAGCTCCATGCAGCACTAGTTTTACCCGTATTGAAAATATTTGCGCTGAACAGTACTTTATTTTTATATTCTTCATTTCTCTGCTTCATATTTAATATATATATGAAATGTTTATCCCAGGAAAAAGTTTAAGACTCGTTCAGGAGACACGGTGCGACTGATGGACCTTCTGGAGGAGGGTCTGAAACGATCCATGGACAAACTGAAGGAGAAGGAGAGAGATAAGGTATATAAAAAAAAGAGGAAACAAGCACATCCTTGCCTGAAAACGTCCATCTAGCTGGCTTTGTGTGCCATTAGCTTGATTCAGAATAGATCAATGGATCTCAAATGAGACCAGATGCGCTAATGACAATTACTGCCTATATTACTCACAACTCCTTTGTGCTCGGATATGAAGAGCCTCCTAATGCCTCACTCGCTTGATTGATATCTCACAAATGAGCTTCTAACAGTAAAGGAGTTTGAAAGGGGCAATTATATAATTTCAGACACAAGTAAGCAATGCAAATGCATTTAGACATTTCGAAGAGATAGACGTCTTTTGAAATATAACACTTACGATGTTTAGTTTACTTAGGTTGTATTATTTATAAAAACACATCATTTCCCTAAAGCGAATCTGACTTTTGCCAAATGCCTTATTTGTCAGGAACATTGAAAGTAGCATATGCTGCATTAAATTAGGCAGAAAAGTTAGAAAGCGTGTAATCGTGTGCAGTGTTCCTGTGAGCATAATCAGTTCGAACCAGCGATGTAGGACAGAGCCAACATTTGATCTGATCTGAAGCTTTTTTTTTCTTGTTAAAGCACTCTTTAACACTAGTTATCTGTTCATTTTCTTTTAATTGCTTGCTATTCTGTGCAAAATCCAATATGGTGTGTGAAGTGGGTCACATCTACTGATGCTCAAAAGTGAAGTAGAATAATTTCAGTCAAATTTTGTGAAAATGTTTCCCAGATTTTAAAAATGAGCAGATTTAGTTCATTATCAAGGTCAAATTTAACACATTTAATCACAGAAAGCTGCTTTGTTATTGATTTCTTTGCAGAGATGGGTAGAGTAATGTAAAACTAGGATAAAATGCGTGAAGGGATCCCTCCATCTGTTCTTGTAAATGGAATCGCATGTAAATTCCTAACTGTTGTTTTTTTTATTTGTTTTTTAGTTGACTAATGTGGTTTCATTGTCAATTCATGTCTCTAAGTGTTTCTGCGTTTCCCATTAGCACATGCAGGCTGATGTACAAATCATTTAACCCTTGTGTGGGGATGTTTCGATCGATCGTTCTGTAATAACGGCCGATAATCACATTTCATGGCTCGATCGGTACGATTGGGGTGTCACGATTAAATAGATTAAATAGCGACGAGATTCCTCATCGAGGTGAAAAGTTGTCTCGTGAGTTCAAATGTTGTCATGATGTAGCGTGAGGGTGAAATTAGCATTTAACATTAGAAGCAATATTGAATTTGACCCGCAAATCAAGTGCCTTACACACACCTGGTAAGACTGGCCTCTGTGTTGCACATGTCACTCAGTTGGGTGGGCGAGTGTGACGTAACCGCTTAAGCTGTTATTCATGTCCAACCAGAGGCTGCAGATAATGCAGCCACACAAATTAACCATAGACTTTACCATGTGATGGAATATCACTGTAGATGTGCTGAAAGTTGCATTATTGAAGTGCAGTACAGATATTTAAACACCGCAGTCAAACTATTACCATCGTGTAGGAATTTTAGCAGCATTTTGTGACAGGACAGTCCACACTGCTGTTTGACACTACATTCTTTGCACACATTTCTAAGCACACTCATCCTGAACTGCTGGAGACTCAACTCACCTGCAAAATATTTGAATTCTAAGACTATTCCATTCACATGCTTCATCATTAAGGATTTTTTTTAAACTGGAAGGGGTGTTAGAGAGGCCAGCAGGGGGTGCTCAACCTGTGGTCTGTGTGAGTTCTAATGCCCCAGTAAAAGTGTGGGAACACCACAGTCAGTGGCCGCCCTTTTTCGGATGAGACGTTAAACCGAGGTCCTGACTCTCTGTGGTCATTAAAAATCCCATGGCACTTCTCGTAAAAAGTAGGGGTGTAACCATAGACTGTAAAAGATATGGACGTAGTATCTGTGATGGCACCCATAGGTTTCTTAACACTGCAAAAGAAGTTACATGTAGGCTCGGCCAAATGTCGCCATTTTGTTCGCATGTCATCGCACCCAGGGCGATCCCAAAAGGCAATTGACTGTGTTAAGAAACATTAACCCAAACAAAAATACGATGTAAATGCCGAGCTCAGTGGCTAATTAGCTAGAATCAGCTGAGGTGACGAGATGGCGAGCAGCGAGACCTAGCTGTCACTCAAGTCACGCTCCTAGTTATGCAGACTTAATATAACTTAATAAAAAGGAAACGAATGAGTTAAAAAAAAAAATCACTCCCTCACAGTTGTTATAAAGGTTAATCATAGCTAAATGCACTAAAGCCATCATTTGTACCAGGCTGTAAACGTGTTTTTATCAGCTGTAAAAATGGCCAGTTTCCTTTGCAGTCAAAAATCACTTGGACCCCTAGGCAAGTAGATTAATTGCTGTTTTAGTTACTTCCGTATTGGCTTCCCGAGGTAGAGCGGAAGGTTTCCGCTTGGGTGTAACCCCGGTGTCCTGGCCAAAGTCCCTCAATCGGCCCTTACAATCATGGCCTCCGAATTGGCTGTATCTCTGTCTCTCCACTCCACTAATAGCTAGTGTAGTGAGTGCCATTTTCCTGTGGCTGCCGTCACATCATCTAACTGGATGCTGCACACTGGTGGTGAAGTAGAGAGACCCCCTCATGATTGTGAATCGCTTTAGGTGTATGGCCATACACAATAAAAGCGATATATAAAAATACACGTTACATTACATTAAAAGTGTAAAAAGCTTGTCTTGTTCTCATGAACTCAATCTTAAAGCTTTAATGATTTTCTGGGCAGCATCTTCACAGTAATCGTGTACAGAAATTGAATAATCAAACGTAAAAGAGCATTGCTTAGTCTTCACCATATAAATAATAATTTAATAACATTTATTTTTTAAAACTTGATGCTCTTTATGTTCAACTTTTACTCTATAATGGTTCAATTCTGCAGTGTTTCCTCAAATTTCACGTGTTTTGACCTGTGGAGTCTGGTCATCTACATTCATAACTCAACATTGCTGATCTTGTGATGCGACTATTGCGCACACGCACATTGTGATATGATATATTGTGCAGCCCTACTTTATATATGCACAATGCTATTTATTTGAGATATGGAATGATTGTAAGAAAATGTCTGAAAATGTGCAAAAACTGGTGCACAGTGTGTTTTCTACAAGTGGTTTGTCACGCCCACTCACTTGTGTGAGGCCGCTCACTCAAAATTGCATAACGTTTTAAGGTTAGCATGTGGTGTGGTGGGGGTAGAGTAGAGGGCGCCCTGGTTTTGTTCACAGGGGTTCAGGTGATCGCGGAATAGATTTGTTTTTAGTTTGAATGATACTAGTAATTGTAGTTTGTAGTTCTGTCCTTCTGTGTAAGAGTATTGATGTGTTACATGATGTGAGTATCGATGTGTTACAGGTGCTGACTCCAGAGGAGCTGGAAAAGGCTCAGCAGGCCGTGGCCTTTGGCTGCATTAAATATGCAGATCTTTCCCACAACCGCATCAATGATTACGTCTTTTCGTTTGACAAGATGCTGGACGACAGGGGCAACACTGCAGCCTACCTCCTCTACGCTTTCACACGCATCAGGTGAGACCCACATCAAGTAGGTATTGATCTACGTAAATGATGTATTGCTTATTTTTGCTTTGTCCATTCACATTTGTTTTTATAGCATTTAAATACAGATTGCTATTGGATAATATGTAATCTTATCAGTGTTGTGTAAGTTACTTTAAAAAAGTAATAGATTACTGATAACTACTGGAAAATTGTAATCTGATTACATTACTAATTACTTCATATAAAAAGGAGTCAGATTACTAATTACTTTTCTTTTAAGTTACTTTAAAAAATAAAAAATAAAAGATAAATATAAAAATACAAAATAAACTGCAGCTCGCTTTTCGGAATTGACATATTCAAAATACTTGAAGTTTGCCCAAAACTTAAAATTCTCTCATCATTCAATTTTTCCAATCCTGTTTGTCTTTTCATTTTTACACAAAAGTAAACATTTGGAAGAAAACTGGATACCTGTAACTATTGACATCCATAGTATAAAAAAGCACTGCAGTGTTTGGGTGTTCTGTGTTTGTCTGAGGTTATAATCTACCTAAATTTGTACAATATATTCCAAAGAATGAAGCTGGGCTTTTGGCTGGGCCACTCAAGGATATTCAAAGAGTTGTTTTGAAGCCACATTATATTTGGGCGGTGTGCTTTAGGTCATTGTCCTGCTAGAAGATGAACCATCGCCCCAGTCTGAGGTCAAGAGCACTCTGAAGCAGGTTTTCATTCAGGATGTCTATGTACATTGCGGCATTCATCTTTCCCTCTTTACTGATTAGTCTTCCAGTTCCTGCTGCTGAAAAACATCCCCACAGCATGATGCTGCCACCACCATGCTTCACTGTAGTGATGGTATTAGCCTGGTGATGAGCAGTGCCTGGTTTTCTTCAAACGTAACGCCTGGCATTCACTCCAAAGAATTCAGTTTTAGTCTCATCAGACCCGAGAATTTTGTTTCTTATGGTTTGAGAGTCCTTCAGATGTATTTTGGCAAATTCCAGGTGGAGAGTGGCTTCTGTCTGGCCACTCTACCATACAGGCCTGATTGGTGGATGCTGCATAGATGGTTGTTCTTCTGTAAGGTTCTCCTCTCCACAGAAGAGCTCAGACAGAGTGACCATCAGGTTATTGATCAACTCCCTGACTAAGGCCCTTCTCACTCAGCTTAGAAGGTCGGCCAGCTCTAGGAAGAGTCCACTGTGCTCATTGGAACTTTTAGAGCAGCAGAATTTTTTCTGTAAACTTCCACAGCCCTGTGCCTCGAAACAATCCTGTCTCGGAGGTCTACAGACAATTCCTATGTCTTCATGCTTAGTTTGTGTTTTGACATGCACTGTCGACCCTGGGACTTTATATAGACAGGTGTATGCCTTTTCAAATCATGTCCAATCAACTGAATTTACCACAGGTGAACTCCAATTAAGCTCCTATTAAAATGAAACAGAATGTACCTGAGCTCAATTTAGAGCTTCACAGCAAATGCTGTGAATACTGATGTACATGTGATTTTTCAGGTTTTTTATTTTTAATGAATTTGCAACAATTTCAAAAAATATTTTTTCTCGTTGTCATTATGGGGCATTGTGTGTAGAATTTAGAGGAAATAAATGAATTTAATTAATTTTGGAATAAGGCTGTAAACATAAAAAAATTTGGAAAAAGTGAAGCGCTATAAATACTTTCCGCATGCACTGTATAGAGAGAATGCATGTGCAATACCCATTTTTAACAGCTGTCTAAAGTGAAAGTATGTGAGAGTAGCCAAAATTAACGCGCTGTCATCATTACTATTAATCAACAACAAATGACTGAAAAACAACGCTAAGACTGAAATTAGGATACATGGCCTTGAGAATGTCACGTCATGTCATTTTCATTTGCTTATCCGGTGCCGGGTCACGTGTGCAGCAATCTTAGGGCTGCATTACTGCTGCCGCTGGACCAATCTGCCTGTTAATAGCACACTCGGCAGCAAACCGCACCAGTGCATGCTGAAGTCCTTGTTCGATGAAGCCAACAGAACAACATTGTCTGTGAATAACAGAGATGAAATCCTTTGGTCCCCGAACCAGACCCCCTCCAGCTCAACGCTGCACTTTGAAATTCCATCCACCAAAATTCTGAACGGAATTGGTGACAAAGGGCAGCCCTGCCAGAGCCCAACATACACTGGAAAGTTTGACTTATTGCCGGCAATGAGAACCAAACTCCTACTCTGTTCATAGACAGTCCTTAACAAAGTGCCTCTGACCCCATACTCCCAGAGCACCCTCCCCAGAATGCCACGAGGGACACGGTCGAATGCCTTCAAGTACACAAAACCCATGAACCCTCGAGCACCCTGGTGAGGGTATAGATCTGGTGCAGTTTGCCACGGCCTAAATGAAAACTGCGTTGTTCCTCCTGGATCCTAGGTTAAACCATTGGCCGGATACTCCTCTGCAGTACCCTGGCATAGACTTTCCCAAGGCCTTGAGAATAACTTTTTTTTAATACTGTAAAATGTTAACCAAATTAAACCAAAAACCTTGATCAAAAACCTTGATAAAATCCGAACCCACAATTTTTGAACCAACCCCCAGTATTAACCCATATTTACCTGTTTCAGGTTAAATGCTTAGCTTATTAGTTTTTTAATTATTATTTTTGATTCCCTTTTTCAGAAATGACATGATTATGTGGGTCTGTGCTGGAAGTGTAGTCCTGATTGGTTCCCTATATGGGGGGTGGGAAACAGTTCATCAACACTGCCGGCTCTTCCAGTTCATTCTCACGGGTTGTTGGTCATTTGTTCTCTTGGCAGTTTAAACCGTGTTGCTGTGAGGAAACTGTGTGTGGGACTCGGGGGGCTTTGTGTTTGTATGCACATGAATGAATGTGTGCATCTGCTGTGCAGTCAGAGTGTGTTTTTTTTGGCTGAAATGCGTATGTTTGTGACAGTTTTACTTCTGTTGTTGCCTGAGTGGCTGCTCGGCACAAGTACTCTCTTATTTTTCACTCTTTGTCACCTTCTGTTTGCTCTCCTGTCTCAGCAGGGCTGTTGACCTCATGTCAGAAGCTTAGGGGTACCACAATCCCTCTGGTCTTATGGCTCTCATGCATTTGGAGAGCTTCTATGAGCTGTTCAAAACAATTGGTTACAGAAAATCAAATTTCAGGAGAAGTGTAGGTGGAAATCAGAGCCAGTGACAGGAGAAATGCCAAAAAAATAATTGTTGGACACGGCAGCAGTTGGTGGGGATTTCAGTGTTTTGTTTCTCAGAATGACAGAACTTTATCCTCTAGTTCACTGGCCAAAGGGCTTTTAGATGCTAAGTGGTTTCTTGTTTTTGCTCATGATGTTTTTCTTTTTTAATTTCTTTCCATTGTGCACTTTTCATTTTTATGTGGCTCTCTGCATAAATCTCTAAATTGCTACACTGCAAAAAAATGGCTAGCACTTTATTTTGATAGTACATTTGAGTATTAGTAGACTCTGCTTAATGTCTGTTGATACAGACATTCAACAGACATTTAACTTACTATAAGAAACTTTTCAAGAACAACTTACACTAACCCCAACTCTAACCACAATCTAACAGTCTACTTATAATCTAATGAGAATTAGTTCGCATATAGTTGGGTCCCACTTTATATTAAGTGGCCTTAACTAATATATTCTTACACAGGAATTAATAGTTTGTTACAATGTACTTATTGTGTAAATACATGTATTTACTGTGTACCTATGCTTGATTAAATACATGTATGTAATTACATCTGTAATTAACTTTTGTAATTACGTTTGTAAATACGCTGTTGACCATCCCTTACACCTTAACCCACCATTAAACCTACCCATGCCACCAAACCTGTCCATAACCCAACCTCTATCCCAACTCAAAAGCACCACAAGTGTTCTCAAATACATTATAAACACAGTAAGTACATTGTATTTATTTTTTGATGTAAGTACATAGTACTTAAGGACACTTAATATAAAGTGGGACCTATAGTTGTAATGTAACTTAAATTTAACAAACGGACCATCAAAATAAAGTGTGACCAAAAATATTCTTTCATGGGGGTTTCTGTGTCTTTTTTAGTCCAAATATCTAAAGATTCGGCAACACTTTAGAATAACTACACACTATGAATCATCTATTAAGCATGTGCAAATAGTGAATTTATTATTTGTTAAGCGTTAACTCTACATTAATAAACATTAGTAGGCTGTTTATAATGGCAGATATGAATGCTCTGTTCTTGACTTGTAAGCACACACAGTTGAAGTCAGAATTATTAGACCCCTTTTGATTTTTTTTGTTTTCTTTTTTAAATAATTTTTAAAAAACCCTTTTAGGGACAAATTTATTTGCCCCCTTTTTTTTTTTCGAGTCTACAGAATAATGCAAAAAAACAGAAATGTGCAAAAATCTAGAAAATCTTGAAGGCAGGTGCTCGATCAAAAAACAAACATTTGTAGCAAAAGATCCAAAGAAAATTGGCACACTGCCACTTTAGCTCTCAAAAACACACACATTAAAGATTTTTTGAGAGCTAAAGTGGCAGTGTGCCGATTTTCTTTGAGTCTACAGAATAAACCATCATTATACAATAACTTGCCTAATTACCCTAACCTGCCTAGTTAACCTAACTAATCTAGTTAAGCCTTTAAATGTCACTTTAAGTTGTATTGAAGTGTCTTGAAAGTCAAAAATTATTTACTGTCATCATGGCAAAGATAAAATAAATCGGATATTAGAAATGAGTTATTAAGGGTGCTTTTACACCTGTGAATCGATTCAGTTGTTCCGAAACAGAGATTACAAATGTTACATTGTTGCTCTTTGCTCTTGGAGCGGTTCGCTTTCACACTGCAAAGTTTCTAATCGGACCAAAAGAGCTAAAACAAGTCACGTGTGAGTAAACTCTCCTCACATTGGTGAGGAGTGTCAGGGTTTATTTTGCAGCGTTATGCTCAGCTGTCAGGAGAGGTGGTGGTTTGGTGGTGATTGACAGGGTGCGCGCGTGACGTGTCTGAGGAGAGACGCGGTGGGGAGGGGTGAGAAGGGTGCACGACGATGCCTATTTGAGGACCGGGAGGGAAACGCAAGATTACCGGGAGATCATCACTCGTTTGCGGGCATCCGGAGACTCGCGAAACTTCCTGCCCTACTCATAATTTTCTCTTCATATAGCCGTATGCCTATTACATATCCATAAAACACTGTAATATAACCGCACTTGGATTGGATCGCTTTCTCACTGCAATCGAACCGCTCCAGGGTTCGTTTCAATCGAGCCGTGACCACATCATTCAAGCGATCTCGGAGCGATTACTTTGGCGCGGAACAGAGCGCGATTGCCCTGTTCACATATGCCAAATGAACCGCGCTAACTGGGCAAACGAGATGCGTTCCGAAACAAAAGTGTAGGTGTAAAAGCACCCCAAAACTATTATGTTAAGACATGTGTTGAAAAAATCTCACCATTAAACAGAAATTGAGGAAAAAAAGTAAACAAGGGGGCGAATAGCTCAGAGGGCCTAATAATTCTGAATTCAACTTTACATAACGGGTTTAATAATTGTACTTTCATACGTGTTATTGATTCATTTTACATGACAGAATTAAGTATCGCATTATTTACAAACCATTTGTATTTAAAAGTAGTTGGGGGTTTTTAAGATCATTCAGAATGAGTTCGTAAATCATTAATAAACTATTCAAATCAACATTTTTATCTTATTATTCAGGCATATATTAATAGTTAATGTGTAGGTTAATAAATGCTGTCATTAAACTTCATCCAGTTTTGTGATCTAAAGTGAGGACTATTTATGCTCTATAAATCCTTAATAAATTACAATTAAAGGCTCAGTACCAAATGAACAATACATCTTTGCTAGCTTATTTAGAAAGTAAAATTTCTGTAAAGTTTACACATTGCTGAATAACAGAAGTTTCAAAATTTAACACATAATTGAAAAAAAAACAACTTTATAATGATTTAACAATATATTGTGATGCAATGTTTAAACTGTACAGTCATTTTATTTTAGTTAAGATTGCAAAGATTTTCGTAATTTTCGTTTGATACAGTTTTATTTGTGTATCTTCAAATTAATAGAATGAATAAAGTCATTTGTTTTCTTTTTTCCTGTTTAGAATATAGCTGAGCATTCAATTGTCATTTATTTGGGATTTACAAAGCATAAATAGATCTCATTCAGATTAGGTCACAAAACTGGATGAAGTTGAGTTAATACAACACTTACCAGCATGCAAAGTAACTATTAATATATGCCTAAATAATAAAAATTATACATGTTAATTTGAATAGTTTATTAATCATTTACTAACTCATTCTGGATGATCTTAAACAACAACTATCGATGCTTAAATAACTTGTTTTTTAAATGTTGCAATACTTAATTCAGTAATAAAAAAGGTAATTAACAAAGTATGAATATACAATTATTAAGCACATTATAAATGTGGTTTTAAGTCAAGAATACAACATTTATAGCTGAAGTTATAAACTGCTTATTAACGATTATTAATGTAGAGTTAATGCTTAACAGATATTGAATTCACTATTTGCTTATGCTTAATAAATGGTTTATAGTGTGTAGTTTATTATAAAGTGTTACTGAATACTTGATGACATGATCACCTCAGGTACACTTCATGTGCTTTATTCAGTGTTAAATGCTTACAATGTGAATTTGAATGCCATTTTGCATGACATTTATTGCCATACTACTGAAAGCTGCAGCAGATAGTTCACCTCAGATTTTGAAAATAAAATAAACCATTTGAAATGTAACTTTAGAACTGACTCAAAGCCAACACTTAGTGGTTTAGCATGTAGATTTAAAAAGGAGGTAAAATTAAAGAGGTTTAAAATGTATTAATTAGATTATAAAACTTACCATTTCATGAGTGAGTGCATATTCTATGATTCTGAGTGGCTGTATTTGAATTTCTGTTGTGTTTTGTCTGGTGCAAAAAGCTAAACTGCTTATCACTGCAAATCTCATCACATATAAAGCGTGTTGTTAGGACACAGTGTTACAGTGTAGCCTGCTCACGTAATGTTTATGTTCATAATGTTTAAAATATTTACTAATTAATAACCTCATGTGGATCTCTAAATCTGAATCTCATTTCGGAGTCTGTTACTGTCCACCGGAGATCGCATTTCGGTCACGGGTGCATGCTTTGAGAGCTTTTCTAAATGATTTAATTAAATATGTGGTTTTCCAACAAGGCAACTGGAGTTGCTGAAATATAAATGGCTGAGCAAGGAGTGGGAGGCTTAAAAGAACCAAAACAGACAGCGTTCCGGCATGGACATGCTTATTTTCAAAGCAGAATAACTTGACTTCAGCATTGTAGTTCTGATAAACAAGAATGTTCACTTGGCATGTTTCTTAAATATCTGCAAGCTCATTATGGTATTTTTATGCTTTAGAAGAGTCAAAAACTTACATAGAGTACCTTTAATAACTCTGGGGAAAAACTAAATGAATTGAAATGTTTACTTGAAATCTAATTTTAATAAGATAGAAAAACATTTAATTCATAATTACAAGATTTAAAGCTTATGAACTATAAACTAGAATAATACTGGTTTGTTGTCAATGGCTCTTAGCTCAATTTGTTTTCTTAAATTCCACAACTTGAAAATGCAGAAATGAGATTCCTAATATCTCCAATAACACACACACTTCTGTTTGTCTCCAGGTCTATAGCTAGACTGGCGAACATCCAGGAAGCTGCTCTTCGCAAGGCTGCCGAGACCACAGATGTAATACTGGACCACGAGAAGGAGTGGAAACTGGGTAAATGCATCCTGCGCTTCCCTGAGATTCTGCAGAAGATAACAGACGACCTGCTGCTCCACACGCTGTGCGACTACCTCTATGAGCTGGCCACCACCTTCACTGAGTTCTACGACAGCTGTTACTGCGTGGAGAAGGACCGGCAGACAGGTGGGTTTCTTCACGGAGCACGATCCTGAAGTTATTAGTGTTTACTGTGAGCTGGATATACATTACCACTCAAAAGATTCAGGACAATGTGTCTCATTCACTAATAAATGCATAATTTTGGTTTTTATTTGCACATTTGAGCTTCTTACAAAAACTTTTCGGTAAATCACAACATCTGCATAAACACATTAGCTAGTTTTTAACACTGGAACTACCAGAATTCGGTCACACTTTACTTTAATGGTCTGTTTGTTACATTGCAACTACATGTCAACTAATTCTCATTAGATTGTAAGTAAACTGTTAGGTTGGGGTTAAAATTGGGGTTAGAATTAGGGTTAGTGTAAGTTGACATGTACTTGCAAAGGTTCTTATAGTCAGTTAAATGTCTGTTTAGCAACAGTAGCAAGAGAAATTAAGCAGACAGTCTACTAATACTCAAATTGACTATCAAAATAAAGTGTTACCCAAAATTCTATAACTACTAGAATTACCATATTGGTCATTCTAACCGTTCTCATATAAGATGACATATTGACATCATATTTCAATCCAAAGCTTCTAATGAGATATTAAAATTAATCTTTAAATTTCTGTCATTATATTTATTTAATTCATCACCCTAAAAATACGATCTTTTTGGTAATGCTGCCCATAAATGTATAGTTAGTCTACGTTAAACCTCTGTGAATGTCCACGACACTTTCCACTTTCTCAGCCAAGGGAGAAGGCTTTTTCACAGTGTGGAATATGCTGTTTTAAAAGACATATCTAAAGTAAAGTTATGTTTTTGGTAAGAGAAAGTAACGTTTTTACTAGCAGGCAGTTGCTAGGCAACAGAGGCACGCATATTACAAGTCACGGGGAAAAGTATCAGACAACTGATTTGGTAGATCTTAGTAGAAATAGTCGTAACTTGTGTGTTTTGTAATTTTAATAAAATATCAATGTTTGAAGGAAATAAACACATATTTAGTAAAAGTCAGGGAATTATAGATAAAAAATATTTAATAATAAAATTAAAAACTGAATTTTTCAAATGAAGCGTTAAATTCTTTCTTTTGTTAGTGAATTTAGAGTCTTCTAAATGAGCGCCTATGTGCATTTGGTTAGTAATTTTATTTCCAGAGAAAGACAAATATGGCAATGAAACAAAAGGCCAAAAAAAAGAACTTTACCGATAATGAATGTCAGGTTTGCTGTTGAATGTGGAAGCCAGAAGAAAAAAATTTTATTTAAAAAACACTTGCATAAAATCAATAAGAACTTTTCTGGAGAATCTAAAGTGACTGAAAAGCCAATCTCAGAGCATGTGTCGCAATCAATGACTGTAAAAAATATGGACGACGCGACAGCCCTTTTTACCATTGAACGCCTTGAGGGCAAAACGCCTGCTTGACGGGCACAAACTGTCGCAAAAGACTGCTGAAATTGGAGCCAGACATGCGCAGAAGGATTGTCTGATGGAGCCAGAGGAGGAGCCGCGAAAATGAGCAGAGTCGAGCTTCCAATCAAACGCTTTATGTAAAATCAACTACGCCCCCCGAACTTCTCAGCATGCGTTTGCTGTCATATCAACACAAATGGATGTAATAACGTTAACAAATATGAGGGTTTTATATATTCAATCGCGCCAGCTCCAGGCCGCAACACATAACTTACTCGCGGCGTCGCGGGCTGATTCCGGAAGCGCCTGCTCGCTCGGCCGCCGCATCTGGCTCGATTGACTCGGGCTGGAATTGGGTAGTGAGTCCAGGCATCCGGAGTAGGTCCAGCAGAGGTAACATTAGTCAGTCTGAGCTCTAAGAGATAAGTCTCCGGCAGGCGAGAATCTAGCCGGAACTGTGTTTTGCTATCTGGGTGGCTAGGCGTGTATCAGCAAACTAATAAAGCCAGAAAAAAGCCCTGAACTTAGCGAATAAACAGTGTTCCACCAGGATCATGTATGTCAGAAACTATAGTTTACTGCTGAACTCATTTTGTCATGGTAAAATAACACAGAAATCGAATAATAACATTTCAGTCTACTTCAGTCTCCTGCCGAAGCTCAGACGCCGCGCTTTGAGAAACTGTCAATCACAGCTGTCAATCACGATGACACGCCCAGCATTAAATTACTGCTAAAAACAAACTGTTTACAAAAATGAAGATCTGCACCTATTTCAGCACAATAACCAGTGCCTTAATTGACCAGAACTATCTTTCGGGACATTTTATTGCAAGTGTAATATTTTTTTTTTATTTGGGCTCAAGTCTCCTTCATTAACACGGAGGAGGCGGGCTTTATGACTTGTACTGCAGCCAGCCCCCAGGGGGCGATCTAACGGCCGAAACCTTCACTCAAACGTAGGCTTGCGGCACACTTGGTCGCAATATCTTTAAACAGTACCAAGTGTGCTTCTAAACACAAGGTGAGACCAAATGGTGCGTACATGTATCGTGAATGAGACTCAATTTTATTTTTTTTAAAGAAGCCTGTTCTGCTAACAATTCTGCAATCATTTGATCAAAATGCAATAATAACGTAAAAATTGTAAAATATTATTACAATTTTCAGCAATTGTTTACTTATTACAACCGGAAATAAATAATTTAAATGAGTTTATTTCACTCAAATGTTTAAAAAAAAAGTTAATTGCACTTAATAGAAACGAGTTACATGAACTTAAAGATCTGTTCAATTAAGGTGAACTTAAAATGACTGAGTAGAAGTAAGGGCTCTAGTTTGACGATCCTTGCACAAAGTCCAAAGCGCAGGACGCAAAAGCATTAAGGGTGTGTCCGAATCCACTTTTGCCATTTTAAGGACGGAAGAATCTGCTTTGCGCCGCGGCGCATGGTCTAACAGGGTTGAGCTTATTCTCTTAATGAGTTATAAGTGAGTTATGGGAATAAACCAATCAGTTTCATCTTCCATTCCCATAGCGCATTTGCTATTTACATTGCAAACTTTGTAAGTGGAAAAACTGAACGCTTCATTAGCGAGAAAACAGTTAAACAGAGCAAGTACAGCACAAGAATTAGAGATTAGGGTCCTCATTCTTTACGTTCACTCTCGTGGATAGGGAAACCTGTTGTACGCACAGACATCCATTAGCCTATACATAATTAATTTAGTTGATTTCAAAAATATTTCTAAATTCAGTTTTAATTTCCAGACAACAAATAAATGAACAATAAAAAACAAAGTGAGGTCGAAAAATAGTTATTTCCAAATGCACATGCTGTGCCCCATACGGTCTAAACCTGACAGGTGGGCAAATCTAAGCTTGTTTTTATTAAAACAAATATAAAAATGCATATAATAAATAATGCTACTACTAATAAAAATATATAAATTCATATTTATGTAGGCTAGAAAATAAAATTTTTTTATAATATTTTAATTCTTTAATACTTTTTCATTTGTAAAGATATTTGTGTATTGCTGTACACCCTGTATGTATATGCAATGTGTAAGCGAGGCACACATGTGTGTGTGTATATATATATATATATATATATATATATATATATATATATATACACACAGTTGAAGTCAGAATTATTAGCCCCCTTCGATTTTTTTTCTTCTTTTTTAAATATTTTCCAAATGGTGTTCAACAGAGCAAGGACATTTTTACATTATGTCTGATAATATTTTTTCTTCTGGAGAAAGTCTGATTTGTTTTATTTCAGCTAGGATAAAAGCAGTTTTTAATTTTTTATGAACCATTTTAGGGACAAAATTATTAGCCTCTTTAAGCTATATTTTTTCTTGATAGTCTACAAAACAAACCACTGTTATACAATAACTTGCCTAATTCCCCTAACCTGCCTAGTTAACTTAATTAACCTAGTTAAGCCTTTAAATGTCACTTTAAGCTGTGTAGAAGTGTCTTAAAAATATCATTTAAAATATTATTTACAGTCATCACGGCAAAGATAAAATAAATCAGTTGTTAGAAATGAGTTATTAAAATTATTATGTTTAGAAATGTGTTGAAAAAATCTTCTCTCCCTTAAACAGAAATTGGGGAAAAAATAAACAAGCGGTCTAATAATTTAACGGGGCTAATAATTCTGACTTCAACTGTATATAGATATATATATACATACATACATACATATATATATATATATATATATATATATATATATATATATATACATACATACATACATACATACATACATACATACATACATACATACATACATACATACATACATACATACATACATACATACATACATACATACATACATACATACATACATACATACATACATACATACATACATACATACATACATACATATATATATATATATATATATATATATATATATATATATATATATATATATATATATATATATATAGTTGAAGTCAGAATTATTAGCCCCGTTCGAATTTTTTTCTTCTTTTTTAAATATTTCCCAAATGATGTTTAACGGAGCAAGGACATTTTCACAGTATGTCTGATAATATTTTTTCGTCTGGAGAAAGTCTTATTTGTTTTATTTCGGCTAGAATAAAAGCAGTTTTTAATTTTTTTAACACCATTTTAGGGACAAAATTATTAGCTCCTATTTCTTTTTTTTTTTGATAGTCTACAGAACAAACCGTCATTATACAATAACTTGCCTAATTACCCTAACCTGCCTAGTTAACCTAAATAACCTAGTTAAGCCTTTAAATGTCACTTTAAGCTGTGTAGAAGTGTCTTGAAAAATATCGAGTCAAATATTATTTACAGTCATCATGACAAAGATAAAATAAATCGGTTATTAGAGATGAGTTATTATTATTATATATTATATATTATTATATTATAATTATTATTATTATTATTATTATTATTATTATTATTATGAAACTATTATGATTAGGAATGTGTTGAAAAAAATCTTCTTTCTGTTAAACAGAAATCGGGGAAAAAATAAACAAGCGGTCTAATAATTGAGGGGGGCTAATAATTCCGACTTCAACTGTGTGTATATGTATATATACATAT